GCCATCGATGAGACCTTCTTTATCGCCCATATACTGTCCCAGACGTTTCGCATCGTCGAAGCTTCGCGGTCGGGGAGCGTTTTCACCTGCAAAAATTATATTACACTAGAAACAACAGTGGGCCTGATGTGGCGCAAGATGAAGCAGCCGCATTCCAGATAGCATGTTTGGGAAGCTAAACCCATTGCCTTGCTCAAGGAGCAATGGATTTCCCGACCTAAAAAGTGAAAACCAAGAAAAACTCACCTTTTCGATGTTGACATCAGCTTCGGAAAAAGCCATTCCACATGGAATTTGAATGGTGTCGTCTCTTCTTCTGGCTTCAGCGAGTCCTTGCGGTGAAATTTAGCCGTCTGGCTGCATTCCAATTCAAAATCCTGGAAAAAATTATATTATACTAGGTAGTTTGCTGAAGGGATTGACTCTAACTTGGCAAAAACTCGATCAACATCACTACTGGATGGTTCTTTGGAAAGCTACACCCATTTTCATGCTTAGGAATGTCCAAAATTACCTTCATTCGCCCAAAACCCAAAAAATCTTGGATCAGCTGTCGTAAAAATTTTTGCCGAGCTGCCCTAAATCAGAAAACACAAAAAACATACCTTTTTTCAGTGATCGTCACTCATCTTTCACCTTCTTTGTACCATTTCAAACAATAAAAAAATATTTTTTTTATTTTTTAGCGAGAGAGACCCGCCGTGTTGGGTCCCACAGCGGGAACATTCCTTATTTGCGCCTTGGCTTGGAGAACCTCGGACTTTAAGATACAATTCTAAATAACTTCAAATCAAATTTTACTAACAGTATCAACTCTAATTGCCCTGCATTAATTCGAGTATGATACACATCATCATGCTCCAGCTGGCTTTACAGCATTTGTTTTGGCCACATCATGTTCCCCATTCTTTTCGAAACACAGAAATTCTGTGCAGTGGCCGAGTAAAAACATGGATCCAATTGGGACGTATTGGTCGTTAGTCTTTCTCGGAATGCGGGTGGAGATGCGGCACGACGAGGGAACGTCAGTCGACAAGTTGGGCCAATTATTAATTAATGTGCGAGAATTGAGAACGTGTATTTGATTACTTCGGAATAATATTAGGGATTAATTATCCAAGAGGGATATTCAGGAAGAGATTTCGGAGACAATGTGTGGTCTTTAGAAAAATAGATCTTACAGCAACAAGTGTAAGAGACCTTAAACTTGAGACAAGGTTGTCATGTTTCGACTATCAATCAATTAATCAAAAAATTTCTGGAATTTTTATTCGAAATTCCGCGCCCAATATCACTTATCTGACGTGAATTTGTCGAACAAGAAGAGAATTATGAAATGGAACCGCTAAGATGATTTACCACGTTTTAAACTATCAGACATGACAAATGAAGAAGCAGTCAGGAACCATTCTCAATTGGAAATCAACCGGTCAAAAAGAGGTATCATAAGGTCCGGTGTAAACTCTTCAGCGTTCGAATTGCAGTTTTGCTTATCAGAAACTTAACACTGCACAGTGGTGACTGTAATAATGGGTGTAATAAGTCTTCGGAACAGACTTGAGAGTACCAAGTAAGAACACTGACCCGAAAACAAAAAAGATAATGTGTAACATTCGGTCTGTAACTCCAACGAAAACAATCTCAAGTTACAGATGAGAAATATTATCGATAAGGGATGAAAAAGAAAGGTCACGTGACTTTGAGGGAAAAGATGAGGGATGGCTTTCACGAGAGATGTTATGCAACTATCAAACGTCAGTTCATATGACACAGGTGACAAGAAAGTGAGACGGGAATCTACAACCAGAGGAAGAGAAAAATATTCATCAACCCCAATCTTCCATTATCTCCCCTTAGGGGACTACGTTCGTCCAGAACATCCGTAAAAACCATGGTGTTTTTGTGATATCTCTAGCCAGATTAATCCCCTTCGATGAAGCCATTAGTATCAGATTATCATGGACTTCCGTTAGAATATTTCGTCCCCCACACAAAAATGAATTGACGCAATGATTAAAAGTGATAAAATTTCTCGGAAATTAAGCGGAGGTCTTTAAGCTGAGGCAAATATTTGTGTGGATTTTTAAATAATGATATGTTTGTAACAGATTAGTTTTGCTATGCTAAACCTCAATAAAAATTCAGTGGGTTCACTCTCTGAGATCAAATTGAGGATTAATCGTTGGTTTGTCGAAAAAGTTCAATGCGTATTAGCAAACACGGAGAGTTATTGAAGGTCCGTAGACCCCGCCGCAAATGTGACGCAATCCACAAGCAAAACACCCGGAACGTACTCTTTTGCACTAGTTAGATAATCAAGAGCAAGCCTACAAATAAAAAACTCGGCCAAAGTTAAAAGGGCATCGTATAAAAATAAAAATCTTGTAGGGCCACCAAAAATGCAATATTATGAAACCGCGAGAATTGCTGCAGAATTAGCAGTGCCCTCGAGAACATTCCAAAACTGTTTTCGTTACGAAAGTATCCGGAATAATCGGAGGATAGCCGTAAATACTTGATTAATTCCCCATTTTTACATAACACCAAATACGAATCTACTTGTTTTTCGCAAGATCTGTGTATTCTGTGCACGTAGCCAATAGTCAGAATTACATGACTTCCATGGGAATGACCGGCCGGGTATCTTCTTCTATTTACTTCCGTTTGCTGCGTAAATAAACATTGGACGGAACAGTGGTTATTTGTCAGTAAAAGGTCGGGAAATATATTTGCACAGATTACGAGAGAAAAGACATCTTCAAACATGCTCCAAAACCGTTTTCAAACGACTCCGATACTAGTAGATTGAACTTTAACTGCACCGAATCTGAAGTAAACACATCTTGCTTTAAATTAATGCAGATCGGGTGATCTCTGATTGCCACGATCGGAAAATAAGCTCGTTTGAACTCTCACAACAAAATTAAAAAATTCCACTTAGTTTTCTCGCAGCCATCTATAATTGTGAACCAAAAAACGCGACTATTTTAAAGCGTAACAATCCGACATTTACGAAAACATGGAGTGGTCTCTCCACCCAATGCTGTGGCGATCTTTGAAATAAGGTTTGTCATGATCTGACAAATTCTTTTTGTGTGTTAATAAACAAGCAAACGACTCCAAACTGAATGACGCAAGTTCAAACAAAAAATCATGGGTGCAATTTCCTAACATTACAGTGTTGATTACTGATTAGAATGAATGAAAAGAAACCGAAATGACTTTCAAAAACAATTTTGTTGGGAATAAGGGGGTTCTGCAGCAAGACGCGATTTCAACAACACATTCTGCGAGGAAGGAAAAGCATTTAAATATGAAATCTTTACAGTTCAAGTACGGCTCTTCCACAAAATTCTCCGCTGTCAAATCTTTAGGGTTTTCCTATCAACTGAAACACAAAAATTGCAGAGATCTCGCACATACATACGTGAACCACATTACAAAGCTAGGAGCCGTGTTGTGAGACTCTTTTTTTGACAAGTGCATCCTCACAAACAAGAAGAAACCCCCATTCTCGTGTACTTTGCAATCATTGGTTATAAAAGCCAAAACTACAAATTCAAAATCGGCCAAACTGTTTCCTGACCGGGCTCACCCATTACAAGTTCATACTGGTATTATTCTGATTGCAAATACCAAACATTCCTAAAAAGGGATGATTAAAGTGCGTCGCCAAAAGGATTAGCATACTTTTAAAAATCATGTCCCTTTCTCTCTCAAAAACTTGAAACTGGCTGTGATGTTAGCGCTTTAAAACGCGGTTTCTCTCAACAATACGATTAAAAATCTTTAAAATGTCAAAGAAATCTTTAAAAACCGCAACAAAATTTTTAAAAACCGAGTTGACAAGGAGGAAACCTGTTTCGAAAGCTTGGAAACTCTTTTACGATGAACTTTTGGAAATCAGACATCTTGGTCGTAACTTACAATTAGTCCTTGAATTTATAGTGTAACATAAAAACTGGCGACCTTAAGAAGTTGCATTTGAAATTTTTAAAACTTATTCCTACGAATTTCGAAATCAAGTATAGTGTGATTTTCGTATTTTTTTACAGAAATTCTCTTGTTCGATGTAAAAAGTCTTCTCGAATTCAAAAGAGAGAGGATCTTTGCGGATGACGTCTACCGAAAAAAGAAGTACAAAAAAGTTGTAAATAGTTGTTGCAATTCCTTCATTCAATTAATATTTATTCACATGTTTGCCCCAAAAAGAATGAAGAAAGTGCGCTTTATTCGTCCGCCTTTTTCCAAAAGAAAGCGCGGACTGGATATTGCAAAACCTTTTTCCACCACTGCTCTTTCTCTTTCTTTCTCTCTCACCGATTTCCGCTCTCTTCTCTCTCACTCCAAACATAGACCCATTTCTTTTCCGAATGCCTATGCTGACCCGTTCCTCCTTCCAACGACGCATAAACTTACCTGGCTGGGAGAGCGGCACGATCAAGAAGGTGTCGCCTCCACGGTGAGGCCCTCCCATTGCACTTTGGGGACGGGTTGACCTGTGTGGCAGCTCCGAGTTGGGGTTGGCCAACAGCTAAATTTTTGCGTTTGAGGTCTACGGACCTCTCATATTATCTGGAATCATCTTCAAAGTGGTCGGTTATGCGCAGCAGTAAGGAAAGGCAGAGTTGGTGTTATTTTGACGCTAAATTTCTGCAACGCATCAGCATTCCGAAGTTTACGCTTTCCTTCCATGCGGTGATTTGCTAATCAAGCTTCTGCACTATTTGAAGTGTATTGTTTTACAATTGAAGAACTGCTCTCACCGCTTTGGTTATTGACGTCCGATTTCGCGCAATATGTGCATTGCTGTGATACAGTACGCCTGCGCCACACCGTTAATTGAATCCTAAATTACATTTGCAAAAATTGGCGTAGGGTTCACGGCTCTGCATACCAGAATCAAAACTATATTAATGCGAACCAAGCAGCAGGCTTGTTTTGACATTATTTTTGGAAGACAATCCTTTTCTATTTGATTTCTTTATATATATTCAAACATGAAGATCATCCTGGATATCCTAAATTTTATCGCAATTATTGCTAAGATTGCTGCGTGCTCGTTAAATTTGTTTGTATTGTTGCTATTGCTATATGGCACGGATCGGCAGGTTGCCCAATCATATAGACGGACCTTGATATGGATGATATCCATCGATTTGGCTTACAGTATATCTGGTCTGATTTTTTATCCGGTGGGCTTCTTTTGTCTTTATAATTGATTCGATAATTTGTTCTTAGATTATATTCTTTACCGGGAGTTATCTTTACGTTATCTACGACGTGCTTCCGGTGTTTGGTAAGGTAATAGTGGAGAAGACCTGCTTAACATTGCCATCGTTCTTAACGCTGTTTCTGATTATGCTTTGCGTTATTGTCCTGCCGATTCCTTGCATTGTTAGATATGTAAACCTGACCACTAAAAGAATAAGCACTCGCCAAATCGACGGCATGTTTATATTTTGTCTGCTGATTTCATCAAGTTACGGAGCTTACAACGCAAGGACTGTGAAGTTGCCCGACCCCGTTTCTGATGACATTTTGAGTGAAAGTTATGGAATAAACATGAGCGGTTCACTTTATACAGTGACAAATGCGGTGAGAAGGGACAACAAAGGGAAACGAAATTTTAGACAAACTTATCTTGCCTGAGTAATTACGCTATCATTGGTATGATAATGTGCATCTATGTCTTGATCGTCGGTTTGTCGTGGAAGACAAATCGCATAATGAATTTGATGGTAAACCATTTAACAAGAGAGACTAGACGGATGCAGGAACAGATGAAAAAGGTCATCTTGATACAGGTAACAAGCACCATCATGCACAATGCCCGAGACCTTTTCAATTTCAGACTTTGTATCCCTTCTTTATCATGAGTGTCCCTGCTTTAATTCTTGAAATTTATCCTTATATGAACCTCGCAGACATTTCACGTTATCTCAATTATTATTGCACTACCGCCCTTATGTGGATATCTGTTTTCAATCCGCTGTCGATTATATTGTGCATCCCTCATAATCGAAAAGCAGTCTTCAACATGTTGACTTGTAGAGTAATGAGACGTTCATCCATATCCAGCAGTATAGATTCTGGATTGGCCCGCATTTTTAGCGGAAAAGATCGACGAATGTCGGCATGGAATTAAGTTATTGTATATGATGTTGCTATGATGACTTTTCTATTCTATTAAATTAAAGATAAATTGGTAGTAGTCATCTAAATTGAAAAGTTGGTTAAGCCGACAATTATCTGATCACACTTCAGAAAAAAATTTAACTGTATTACCACAATCCAATTGGCCGAACTTCGGGCTCTGTTTTCTGATTTTGAATTGCTGAGGATTGATGCGGTTGGTTAATCATAATTCCTCGGTTCATACAGTATCAGATGGATGTCCCAGTTGAATCTTATCAATTTATTACTGCATGTGACACAACCATTGAAATGAGAGTCAAAAATCAGAAAAGCTACATGTCTTGGAGGGTTCGTTTCCGTTACTGCTCCGCGTGCATAATTAATAAAATTTAACGGTCCTATTGAGAAAAGTTTTGTTCCGTTAAGTGGCATTCAGTTACAGGGTTAAGAGCCGAAATACGACTGAAAAATTCCTAGTTAGTTTAAATGAACATGAGCAAGTTATTCCCAATTTGTTTTGTCAGTAGACTACTTTTGAAAGAAGCTGATTTCCAAAGAATTTAACTTCTAATTGCGTTATAAATGTTATGAGGAGACATACCTTATTGGGAGCAAACATGGCAATAGATGTGTACTCGGTTGTATATTACATCACTTTCTTCTTAAAAACTCTGTCAATCTTCCTCAACTTAGGAGTTTGGAGATTGCTAAATCGAGGAAGAAATGATGTTGCCGCGATTTATAAGTACCTGTTAAAGCTTACCGTTGTTTTGGATTGCACATACGCGTTGTCCAGCATTATTTTTGGGCCGGTAAGGGACTTTATTATACATGCAGACGAATTTAGATGCTGTTGTTTTCCGACTCCTACTTTATTTTGATATTTGAGTCACTCCTTCTGCCTAAGTCGATCCCGATGTCACAAGTCTCTACTTTCATCATGACGGTTGTTGCGTATGGGTGGATTGGGACGTTGCCAGTTCAACCCATTGTCAGATATTACACTTTGATCTCTCAGCCGTGCTCGAAACGAGATATCAATGTCATATTTTCTTATGGAATCTTAGTCGTAGTCCTTTACGGAATCTGCACAAGTTACTTTGTTGGCACTAAAAACGAAAAGTTTGATTATTTGTTGGCAAACCAAACTCTGTTTACGCTTCAAGATCCAATGTATGTGCTGTTTGATTCGGTAGGTGGCTCGTTTACACGCAGCAATTATAGCTTGTAGTCAACCGAAAACATTTATTATCCATTGATCGGTGGAGTCTTAATAACTGTGGTTTCATGCATCCTGGTGTTCGTTTATATTATGAAGGCTCGACGAAAAATGATCAGTATGAGGGAGCATCTGACGGAAGACACGCGAAGGATGCATAGAAGAATGAGGAATATCGTAATCTCTCAGGTAAGTATGCCATATATAACATTATATCCTTCGAAAGACAGGATTGTGGAAATTACAGCATACAATTTCAGACGATATACCCGCTGCTGTGCCTTGAAGTTCCGGCAGTAATGTTTGGCGTTTATCCATTGTTTCAGCTTGAATCTGCAGCAGAGTTTTGCAGTATATACTCAAACATTTCGCTGCACGTTTTCTCCATTCTGAATCCTTTATCAATAATTTTCTTTATCCCATCGCATCGCAGGGCTGTAATGGATACAATAAGATGTAAAACCAAGAAACGAAACTCAGTGTCCATGCCTCAACCAAACTCCTAAGTAGCTCGGTATATTCTTAGATATTTGATGTCCTTATTCTTTGCTTAACTTATGGGCCGAATAATTATTTTGTTTTGTTTGTTTTGTAAAATAGTCAAGCCGTTGCTTTGGGGTATCATTTACTGCAACAGGAGAAGTGCGATAAGACGGCTGAAATTAACCCGGTAAGCTGTGGCTGTCATCAGATAATAGTGTTTGATTGCCAACAACAATCAGAGCAAATAATTTGTGCCTTAAAGCGTTGAACTGAGAGCCCAATTTCATTAGTAAAGTTACATGCGTTTTTCCGGTTATTTGCAACTTTCTGCGGGCAGGGTTAATCAAATTTAACGGCAGGGAATGCAACATTTTCCATTAAGTGACACTAAGTTCTCAACACCGACTTAAACAGCCAAAATGATTCCTTATTTCTGTCCTTGGCCGCGGTTATTAGATGACATTAGCCCTTTGTAACTAACAGAATCATTGCGGTATGGCAGAAGGTAGTCGTTTTCGAAACTTTGCCAGTATAACCAACAATTATATATCAAACCTTACGGGCAGAATTTTTGTAAAACAAATGTGGTCATGGATGTTTACGCCATCGTCTACTACCTCGATTGTTTTCTCTCAATCTTGTCTATTTTATTAAATCTATTTGTGTTGGAATTAATAAACCGAGGAAAGAATGATGTCGCCACAATTTACAGACATCTCTTAAAACTCACAGTCTACTTCGATTGCATATACGCCATTTCCAGCTTATTTATAGGGCCGGTAAATAAATCAAAGTAATTTTAGTGGGCTTTTAGATGATTTTGTTTACCGATTCCTACTTTATTTTGATATTTGATGCCTGGTTTCTGCCCAAAACAATATTAACGTCTCGCATATCCGTCTACATCATGATTGTTGTGACATACGGCTGGATTGGCATACTGCCCGTTCAGCCGATCGTCAGGTATTACACAGTGATCTCACAGCCATGCTCGAAACGGGATATTAATCAATTGTTCGGGTACGGAATCTCAGTGGTCGTTTTGTATGGGATTCTGGTATCTGGGTTTATTGGCATGAAGAACGATATATTTGATGAAGTTTTACGAAATCAGACCCTATATATTCTCAAAGATCCAGTAACCTATGTGGTGTTGGACTCGGTAAGTGTTACATTTAGACATCACCATTTTATACCAGACAACCGCAAATATTTTTTGGCCGACGATAGGTGGCGTTTTAATAACATTATTTTCCTGTTCCATGGTATTTGTTTACATCATGAAAGCCCGGAAAAAAATGATAAATATGAGCGAGCACATGACCGAGGAGACCAGAAAAATTCAGAAGCGGATGAAAAATATCGTAATTTCTCAGGTAAACCATTATCTTCAACGCATAACGTTTCAACTGCTTTAGACCGCATATCCCCTGCTGTGTCTTGAAGTTCCAGCCGTATTATTCTGCATCTACCCATGGCTTGAGGTTGAATACGCTTCGGAGATCTCCAGTATATACTCAAACATTTTATTACATATTTTCTCCATCCTCAATCCTCTATCGATTATCTTCTTTATTCCGTCCAATCGAAGACTTGTCATGGATACAATTAGATGTAGAGCAACGAAACGAAACTCGGTCACCATATCTCATCTAAATTCCTAATATTCTATAATTAATAATGCATAGCGAGCGGCCCAGAGAAAGGTTTTGCCAGATCGTTAATTGTTTTCGCCATTGTCTGCCTATCATAAATGTAAAATACATGGGCTTAATTACAGCGTTGTCTTCCGAATAAAAAATAAAAACTTTATCAAGAGTACTATAGACTCTCAACTAGAAAACTCGAATGTGATTAGCAGGTGCTAGTCGGCACTACCTGTATCCTTTGGTCTTTGTGTTTTCTTGTGCCCATTTCATTAACGTAAAGTGCTGCGTATGCCTATTTTGGATCACATGATCATTAAAAACGTTATGGTTCGAGTTTCTTCATGTTTCGAAAGCAGTGTTGACCACCTTATTACTATGGTATCAAACCAAATTACCGGTTAGTCTTAGCGTCCCATTATGTTCTCTGACAGCCATATGGTGTTATGCATTTCTACACGGTTTGCTACTTTGCCTTATTCCCGATCAAAGTTATATCGGTCATCATGAACATTGGAGTCTTTTATTTATTGCAACGGGAGAAACGCGAAGTGGCTGAGAGCTACCGACATTATTTGAAAATGACAGTGATTTTGGACCTTGTCTATATTGCAGAGACCGCTGTTATTTGCCCGGTAATTTGTATCATTGTGCGGTTTTTAAGCATAAGATAGCGGTAGATGATTGTAAAAGATCTTGCTAGGATGCGTACAGGCATTAGGAGAAGTTTGTGAGACTCAACTATTTTTTGCCTCCTTTTCGGCCATAGTATCCAATGGTATTTTGTTCGCTGAAAGCAGAGCATAAGCTATATAATACCTATATAACCTGACGTATTTCGAATCTAATCAAGAATCCTTTGAACACTCTTTGATAGTTTTAAAACTATAATTTCAGGCCATCCTCTTCGTGGATTCTTATTTCTTCTTAATTTTCGACACATGGTGTCTACCGAAGTCGATTCTTATGTCACGGGTATTGTTCGTCATCACAGCAAGTCTAACCTACTCCTGGGTTGGCATAATGCCCATTCAGCCCATTATTCGCTATCGAAATGTTATTTCCGAACCGTGCTCCAAACGTGACATCCATCGGATGTTTTTTGTGGGGATCTTGGCGGTCATGCTCCACACCTTAGTTTCAGCCAGCTTTCACGGTACAAAAGCCGAAGAATTTGATGAAATCTTGAACAACCAGACTTTATTTACGTTCTACAATGATCCTATATATATTGAATTTTCATCCGTAAGAGTTTCTAAGCCTTGTTGTTAGTCAAAATTTAGGATATTGGAAATATATTTTGGCCAATGGGAGCTAATATTGCGTTGACAGTTACGTCTTTCACTTTAGTGGTAGTGTACACATTAAAAACCAGGTCGAGATTAATGAATTTGAAAGAGCACATGACTCCAGAAACCAGGGCCATGCATCGGCGGATGAGGAATATGATCATTCTACAGGTAACGCAAATTATTAGCTAACTCTTTATATTGTAGACAACCTATCCGTTGTTTTGCATAATTGTCCCTGCGGCTATGATTGGGACATACCCCGTGCTAAAACTCACCTTAACATCAGCAATTTCCAGCGTCTACGCAACATTTTCTTTACAAATATTTTCCATTTTCAATCCCTTATCGATTATTGTGTGTATCCCGTCTAATCGCAAGGCAGTTCTCCGCTTCTTGGGATGTCTTCCTCGTCATTCTGTGTCTGATTGCCGCAACCCCAAGAGTGTTGAAGAACCGAATTAAACTGACAGGGAAGTACTGCAAGTGTGTAATGTTTCCATAAGAAAAACATTTTTTTCAAACTGAGAAAGTTTGAAAAAAAAGAAAGCTTAACGAAGATCTCTTCCTTTGTTAGTGTATATTTATTGATACATGATAAAGACAGGAAATAAGCAAATTGTAAAAGTTAGTTGTGTAAAAGAGACGCTCTGCAGAGCATCGAAGTGTCTTATATGGGAACATGTTGCTTTGTCTTATTCTTCATTTGAATCCGTTTCATTCCCGAGCAACACCCGTTCCTCTATGTTTGTTGATCCTATTCGAGATTTGGAGCATAAATTCTTGCTTTTTTATTGTCATTTCGCTCGCTTTCCACACAAATATTCCCATTTATGGATCCACTTGAGAAAAATGAGTTCGTCCGCAAAAAGGGTTAATCGGACAAAAAGTGGTGTAAGAGTCAAGGGGCGATCGCCTGAAGGCCGAATGACTCAGGTTTGGGGGATTTATTGGGTAATCATCTACCGTATTGGGAATAGTATTGCGATGATTCGAGAGTGATAAACAATGAGAAAGGGCTAGGAAGGGCTCAAAGAAATACCAACGGGTTTTGTGCTGGGGGCAGTAAAGTAAAAGCAAAGTATTGTTGGGGAAAAGTAAGGAATTTGTAAAGGTTTCACTTGGAATTTGCGTTACGAAATGATTCCTGAGAAGATAAGGATAGAATTTATAAATTTCATTTTTTGCATTGGTTCGAGCGTTACAGGTTATGACAATTATTTTCCCCAACTATTACTCATATCCATAGCCCGTTACTTACTCTTCCATTCCACAAAACCTCATTAATTCCGACGTTTCCAATAAAAAGGTTTAATTATTTTCTATATCGTTTTTGTACATTTCATCGAGAGTGAACGATTATTCTCGACTCATTGAGCACTTCATTCCCTCATTTCTCTATTTCCTAAATTGTCGTATCTTCACTTTGATTACTAATATTTTAGAAAGTATTCCAAGATGATCTCAACGACATTAATTGTGGCCTTGCTGCTCCATGTTGCCGAGGGAGTTCATCAGTGTCCGATGTATGGGATTGGCGGACTTGGATATCCATATTCTGGTACATAGTAAGTAGTAAGGCGCTAGCTGTGTCTATAGGGAACATCATAGACAAGAAAAATGATTTCAGCTGCGGCTCCGAGTCAATCTTCCACTACTACACTTGCTGTGAGCACAATTTCTACGAATGTTGCTTCAATTTGGAGCCTTGGGTAATGTATGTAAATTCAGATTTGTATCCATATGGACCGTTGACTTCGGCTGACTATTTGAGTCAATGGATGGCACCGTGCACGACTTCCCCTTGCAATCAGCAATCAACGGGACTCGTTCCCTCAGACAGCTACACCGACAATTGTGGCAACGTTAATTGTGACGCGAATTGCAACAACGATTGTTGTTGCTGTGATGATGGGATCGACTACTGCAACATGGATGCTGGAGGGTATGGGGTGATGGGGTCATCGTATCTACCAAATTCACCAGGATTGTTAATGTATCCACATTATAATCAGCCCTTCTCTACTTTAAACAATTACGGAATACCGTATTCACCACATCTATATGGAATGTTTCCATATGCGGGTTATCCACAGATCCTACCTCCATTTTCTTCGTATGCCGGGTTACGATATCCACATATGCAAAGAAATCTCTTCTCTCCAGTAGTTCCTCCGGCTCGGCCACCTCCAAATCCCATTCCTATATCACCCGTACAGCCACCAGTATCGCCGCCAGTACCATCACCAGTATTGTCGCAGAATCAACAGTACTTCTCTCCACAATACTACGACCTCTACCGTCAATACATCCAAGCAATTCATGGTCAGCAAGTTCGCCATCTAAAGAAGATTGAAAGATGCAAACGCAAATGCAAGGGGAAGCCAGTGCACGGTGCAGATCTACAGACTCAGATGGACCCAAACGACGAATCGACCAGTAAATGTATTATCTATTTCAGTGTGGCTCTAGTCATCTTGCTGGTGGTTGGAATACTTGTCTGTCTGGGATGCTGTGGATTCTGCATTTGGACGGTCAGACCAAGCGATTAAAAAAAGGTGGCAGAATAAGTACTAGAGATATACGAAGGTTGCTATAAATACTCTCCAAATTCTGTGTACATAACGTATCTTTTAATAAACATGTCGCTTATGAAATTCGTGAGGATCCAGGCGGCACCCTCGTGTCAGCAAACAGACGATGAGGTAATCTCCAAGAATATCTGGATATTAGCTTTTTTAGGTCTTATTGCAAAATGCAGAATTCATAGAAACGAATGATATCACTTCATTTCGTTTTTTTATGTTTTTGGTATAACAGCATGTGAGGAAGTGTACGTCCGTATGTGTAATAGAATGAAAAAATGTGCATGTGGTTGCACAAAAAGTAAATGTAAATAACACTTCAAAGAGCATGATCATCGTCTTTTCCCGTGGCATTCTAAAGTCAAAAACCGTTTGAAGAATGGGTGAACGCCTCGGAGGATTGAAAACAGCCTTGCAAATCCTAAGAAGGGTTAAAAGAGCAAAAAATTTTAAAATTAAAGAATGCGCGGTGGCTCATTTGGTCATAACTTACATAACTTATGGTTGTTAATCCATCGGAATTCGTCCTATCACCTACCGTTTCTTGATTACATTGACAGGAAAAAGTCCGTTGGGCGAAAAACTTCAGGTATAATATCAGGATTTTTATAGACGTTTTCAAAGGGATTTAAGCAAGATTTAACGATTGAGTTGGCCAAGATTGACTCAACTGGCTTGCTAACCGAAAATCCAATTATTTCAAATTGTTGCAATTTCCTTCCCTTCAAATTTAATGGACATATCAGCTTTGAACACTGACATGTTTACCTCCTTGAATCTCGAAACGTTTTGTTAGACTCTTCTTCTTAAACAACTAATGTCAGTTCCACTGCTTCAACATACATCAATGGAAGCTTTCCGATTCCCAAAACAATGTCATCGTAATTGCCCCAAGGCTAACACCCAAAATGCCCTTGGTCTCATTAATTGCCTTGTTTTTATTCTGATTCTTATTCGACGCTACAAAATATGCGGATATCCTCATGGCATCGCATACCAAATAAGTTATTTCCTTAATATCCCGTCTATGTTCTTCTGTTGACCTGAAGATCATCTTGCATCTGCACTTTCGAGGTAAGAATCGTTAACCCGGAGGGAGTTCGATGGCAGCAAAGATGGTTGTAACCGGATACAAACCCCAAGTTTACGTTGGAATGTTTCCTTTTTGTAGTCTGGTCCAATTCAATATTCTAGTTAACGCGTTTCATTCTACATCTAACGTTACAGTAAACATTGAAAAGTTTGCAAAGATTTAATTTCTTCCTACCGTAGTTCATAACCTTTTGTCCTGTTCTGTTTCAAAAAACTGTCTGCAATCTTCGAGCAAACAAGAAAGTTTGGCAAAGGAGATTCGAAAAACTGGCAATTTTCTCTCATTTTGCGGAAACGCGCAGATATTGGTTTCATTTCCGTCACGGCGACATTTTGAATATAACCTCAGGGCAATTAATAATCTTCGTCATTTCAAGGAGACAAAAATATTTTCCTAGATTTTTAATGATCCTCGGGAGGGGGATAATATTCAAATAGTATCCGCCTACTCTTGTCTAGGCTTATATAAATCCGGGATGAACTTGGATTGGGCTATTAGGAGATTTTCTTGAGACTCATCTCAGTTTTAATTGTTTATTATCATGGTTTCTTAAGACTACCTCTGTTTTGTATATGTATGCCTAGTAACTCCTCTTATCCAACTTGTTTTGTACTAATCTTAGGCCTTGATATCTCCTTAAACCCTAATTACTCCATAAAAATACGTTCATCTCATAAAATTGTATGAGATTTTGCCTGAGGCTATTTAAACATGCTTTCGTAGAGAGGGATGAGTACTAGGTTTCAAACACTGTTCATTTACCCAGTATTTTTCAGACGTCTTAACAATATCGTGTCCAATTTGATGTTCTCCCTTCCCTTTCCTGTTTATGATTACAGTAGTGCAATTACTGTTTCAGGTTACCCATCGAGTGCCAACCCGCCTCGTCTAAGCAATAATTTTATTGAAGGAAGTTTGTCTGTTCCGAATAACAAGATGAAACTCTCAGCCCTGATTCTTGTGCTCGCTCTGATTGTCTGCGCCGTGAAAGCACAAGCCGAATTTGATGAGGAAAATGGATACGCAAAGAGATCCATGAGGAATGCGTTGGTCAGATTTGGACGATCTGGAATGCGAAATGCGTTGGTGAGATTCGGAAAACGATCGCTTGGAAATGATTACGCGGAAGCCAAGAGAGCTCAGAGTGCCCCGGAACCATTTGGTAAGGTTTATGACTGTAGGACGTTAGAAAAAACACCCAACAAAAGTTTGAAAAGTTGAGTTGATGATAACAAAATCGTTTCAGTCCGATTCGGCCGTTCAGCTCCATCACATTTTGCCTTATACGACTACTACGACATCTAGGCCACAGAAACCACGAACAGTCAACGGTTACCTCACACAAACACTACTGTTTACAATTCGCCGCAATTTTCCCATAGCCGTAGATGCCAAAAAACTCATTCAAAGAGAGTGAAAAAAGAGGAGATCATATGTCGCACCAGTTTTTATTGTAATTATTGTCTATAACAGAGTTAATAAAAATATTTTTTAACTGTAAATCGACTAATCGGAATATAAGTAAAACTTTTGTAGCCAACAAATTTATTGCGTAAATTTTGAAATGAAAGGCCTAGAATAACAATCGAGAGATTACATAAAATTTTGCACACGTATTGTCTTCATTATTGTCAAAATAGTTCACTCTGGATCCGGATTTAACGCAAAATTAACACGAGAAGGCGATAAAGAAGATCTGGCTGGAGCTGACAATGGCGCCGGTAAAAGCCCTTCTCCACCCCTCAGAATTGACGGTTCGTCAGCCGAAGTTGAGGTCACCTGTGCAATCAGTTGATCCAATTTGTGATTCATCAGCTCTCGGAGTTGATGGATTGCTTCAAGGGATGATGCTGACGGCAGCAATGGAGCTTCTTCTGGGGGAGTCTGAATGATCTTTAGAGGCGATGGAGCTGATTTCTGCGCTGACAAGGTCTTTCGTTTGAATACTGCCTGTTGCTCGGAGTACGAAGGACTTGGGGGATCTACAGAAGTCATTGGGCAAGTCAGGGCGTCGCTATAAGACCGTTGTTTTGGACGGTCGTATGAGATCGAAACGGTAGGAGAGAGGGTGTTCGCGGCAATCGAGGTTGTGGATCTAAATAGAATCAAAGAATTGGAGTTTTTTTGTGACCTAACTCACTTTAGTTCAGTGTCCGAATCATTGAAATCGCTCTCCATCTCTCCTTCTTCTGTGACACTATGATTTCTCCTCTTTTGACTTGACCTCCAGATCTTTGTAGATGTACTCATTGTCCTCATAATATCTCTCTTAACAGCATCAATGTGAGAGGATGATCTGACAATCTCCTTCCTTCGATCATCTCTCAGTTCGTATCTCAAAGAACTAATGTCTTGTTTAATCTCCAGAAGGTCGTCTTCATTAACTCCATCCATTTTCATATTCTTTTTGGTCTGGTGAATAAACCGTGAGACTAATCGCTCAATAATGTCCATATAAGTTAATGGTTTGTCATCTTCCGGAGCCTCAGGATCCGGAGTTTTGTGCTCCAACTCTTTACTTTTGCGGCTATATCCGGGACGCTAAAATTTAATCACAAATGACGATAAATGTCTAATCTTACCCGTATCGTAGCGCGGTTCCTTGTTTTTTGAAAATGATAACTCCCAGTGAGCCATTTGATTGTATTTACAACTTTGCAGAACCCGTAATAAATGGCCTTGGGGGTGATTATTATGTTGAATGGCGGTGGGAGACTGGAGCCCTCATCGAAGTGGGCCATCCACAATTTTGTTCGATGGAATTTCCATTCCAAATCGGCGTGATCCTAAAGAAAAATAAGTTTCTAATGCTTGAAAAGCAGCAAAAGATTTTAAAAATTAATTTACATTGATCGTTTGGAAGGAATGCGACATCATGGCAATGAGCATATTGAGTAGCACAATTATAGAAGTAATGTGGTACATCATGAACATTCCTCGTCCAATCCACTGGGTAAATGTGTGCTCTTCCGCGACGTCAGTGTCTTCGACTTTTGTGATCGCAAAGAGTGACCACAGTAATGTCATATACGAGTTTCCAATGCTGAAAATCATCGCATAACCGTGCAATCTCCTTGCACTTACGATGAAAAGACATTCGAAACGGCAGTGCAACTTTCCGGAGTCACACATACAGGAGTATTGTCTTCGTAATACCAGTAAAGTTGAGCTAGACCAATGGCGAAAGAGCTGATTATTAGAACAAAAATAAAACAAAATTTGGCGACGTCTACCAACATGCATCCCAGTGAGATCTAAAAACCAAAATTCAAAACCAAAACTAGACATACCTGTAAAGGTCCGAGGTAAGGACTGATTTGAAATAAATATATTATCCTTGCAAAACTGAGGACATTCCCAACGGCAAAGAGAGCTTCAGCAACCAGCATCGGTTCGTAAGCATTCCAATAAGTTCGGATTACATAACGCGGAGTTGAACCGTCATTCCAAGCAACATAAATTAAATAGCCGCTCAGTCTAGAGGGAGGATAATAAAGTTTAAAACAACAAAGTTACCTTATTGCTATGGTGCATAAATAAAGACACATCATACAAAAATCGAGCCAATTCCACCACTGAAACACGTATTTAGCAAGGCCTTCATCCCATAGCTGTTTAATCTCGGACCAAAGCATGCCTGAAAATATAAATTTGAGTGTGCAAATTTAATCCACTGAAAAATGAATATTTTAAAAAATTTAAATTCATACTTTGATTGATTGAAATTCTACATCAATTTTAATTTTCAAACTTACCCAGCACCCAAAACATAACCATGACTTCCACAAACGTCGGCGGCGCCCCTCGATCCGATGCTCTCGAATGAAAGGCCTCTCTACTCATTAGATCTCCCTTTTCTGAGTGATAAGCTTCAAGTGTGACCAATGTGAGGAGTAACAAAAAACACCCGAAAGAAGTACTGTAATACAAAAACTTCATGAAAGGCGATCGAACGTAGCTTCCAAAGCGACTTTTGGGCATCTAAATGAATAAAAAATATTATCTTAGGGACTTACAATAATATAACAAAAGGAGAGAACTGGCCATAATAATATGAGGACCGCGTAGATTAAAAAATTCCATTTTGAATCTCGATGATGGATAAATGGGATTCCTTGGCTCCAGATTGAGGTCAGAAGTTGTTGGCAATGAGGGTGCGAAACAAACTGAATATAAAAGAAATACATCAACAAGTTACAATAAACCCACCATTTTCTGTTCGTATTTGATCGCCATCTTCAACCGCAACAAGCTGATCTTACTCGCTTTCACATTAATATTCTCATCGGCCGCATTGTCCTCCTTATTTAGCAAAGCAATTACTTCATCCGTAGATCGGCACTGACTCAGCAAGTCACAAGCAAACTGCTTGCACTGCTCACTCAATTGGAGATAAATGTCTTTGAACTCATTCTCCAATCTGGCCAGATTTTGGAGCTCCCAGGATAATCGAAAGGCACTTAGAATTGGATCACTGCTCGTCAAGCTCATCCACGCCGGGCTAGCCAGTGCTCGATAAGTGTTGATTCTTTTCAGAGAGTGATGAAGGGAGTCTTGGCCACGGTCTTCTGTACAGACCTCGCAACGGCAAGAATGTTTATGAGGCCGTTCTATTGTCGCTTCTTTCCGCAAAAGCATTTGGAGGATTTCAAAACGATTCAGATGCGCTGCCAGCATTATTGGGGAGATGTCACTGGAAAGGTGCGAGTTAAGAACCTATTTTAATATTTTTTTGCATTTTTCATCAATATGAGCCTTCGTAGAAGACCTTATTGACTTTGATTACCTTGAATACTCAGAAGTTGCGACCTCACTTCGACTCAAATATTTGTGCCATCCATCTCCCAACATGTCCTTGTTAATCGATGGATGATTTACCAACATTTCCACAATTCTATATACTCCTTCCCGGATCGCGCATAGTAATGCATTACCAATTCTGATATCTGTTTGCCGAAGTAAAAGCTCCACAATCTCAAAGTTTTCATTGTCAACGGCGATCTCGATTGCTGTTCGACCCATGGCGTCAACGCAGTTGACATTAAGCGGAGCTGCATTTTTCTGAAGCAAATAAATGTTCGACTGTAAGATCTTAGAAAAAGAATTATGACTTTGAAACCAATATTACCTGGTTCAGACAAGCGATCAACGTGGGACGATCACCGGATTCAGCGGATTCGAGGAATCTGAAAAAAAGTACATTATTGAACTTCTAACGCTTTCTTCAGTTCATTTTTCATTTTCTCTTGCAATCTTACGCCACATACAGAGCGTCCAGCAACCAGCCAGGCCTCCTCTTCGATCTCCGATACCCGTCTTTCCATGGCATTTTTAGCTCTGAAGACAACAGAGAATCTAGGAATTCAATTACCTCGAAGAAATCATAAATTTCAAATTTTTAGACGTCATTTCAACAGGAATCTTCCCAAAACATACATCTTCCGGTTTGTCAAAAAAGGTGTAAATAGGGAAGTTATTTGTTTTGTCTAAATTTTAAATAAATTCTCCCACCTCCAAAAGTCCGCCAAGGCTTCTAAAACATTCCGCAAACCTTGACATAAATACCGTGAGAAAACATAGGCCAGAAGAACAATCGGAGAGAATCCGTGACTTTGAGGATGACTTTGGGAGGGGTTTATGACCGAATTATGGGCAATAAAAGAGTGGACTATCACACTATCAGAATCAAGATTACATTAGAGTTAGTTGTTGTTAAACAAAAGGGTTGATTGGGTAAGTACAAGAGTTCAACACAAAGAAAATAAACGCCTCTATTTCCGTGTATTTCTGTTGTTCCCATGAAAACCAATGCGCATCTTGCAGGGACGAATGTTTTGGCTTATCTTTAATCAAATTCACATTGAAATTCGGGGCCAGTGCTTGGCCCCGACGGCACAAACACGTGCAATAAAACGATATTAGGCTACTGGGATAAAAAAGGAAGACGTTTAGGAAAAGATTTTAAATTTTTTGCTTTAGTCATTTCTTTTATACGGATGTCTTGTTATGTATGGTATTTTTCGCAATAGTTATGTTCTCACCTTCGTTCTTGCGGCGTTAGCATGTCGTGTGTCTTTATATGAACGGCAGGCCCATATATATTGCGACTCCTCGACATTGGCCGATGATTCCCGGCCACAACCGCAGCTCGCCCCATTGGTGATCGGGGAAGATTTGGAGAGCGAGATCTGGCTGGTGGAATCACTGAATTTGTCGAATTCAAGGCACCGCTCCCTCCAAGAGAACGCGGGGCATTCAGAGAATAACGACTTCGGCCGACCGGCTTCGAACTTCCTGCAAAATTATTAAAAAAATACTTTAAGATCATTAGAACTAAAGACAATTAACGATTTCGAACACAATACAACAATACAAATGTTACTTCTAATGGCAAGGAAAAGGTAAATTTATATCTTGTTTTACCTTGACGATAGAGCCAAACAGTAGTCATTTTTAAAATTCACCCGCGTTAAAAAAAAGTGAGGAAAATAGGAGAAAACGCAAAAATATTGCCCTCAAATAGATTTTATTGTTAGAAGTGGTCTAACTGCAAGAAAATTTTCCACAAATTTGTAGACTGTTCAAAGTTGCATTGTGAAGTGCACATGCTAAGTACAAATAAAAATGTAAAAGGAGTAAATGCGTCGAGGGCGGGCTACATCTTCAGCAGTTTAGCAGATAGCTTAGATCTATGAACTACATTTTGCTAGAGGAATTATTTTACGCATCTGCAACAATATCGACCACAGTCCGACCACCAAAAGTCCTGCGACTAGAATAAAATATGGACTTGAACAAGCTTTAATATAAATCCCAAGTTCCACGAACAACATTCACAAGCAACGTCCAACCAACCAGATACACTGTTCATGTGGGTCATCTCAATAAACGCGTAATTTACTTCCTAAACAAAATTGTGAAGAATTTTGGGAATCAATTTCACTTGAAAATACGAAACTATTTACGCACGAATAAAGGGAAAATATAAGGGGAAGACCAAGGGATCATGACATTAAAAAAGTAAAGGAAAAATTACACGTAAAACAACGAAAGGTTCCAATAATTTCAACGTAACTTTGTGGTGTTCAAGCCATTGCGAAAACCCACAAAAAATCGAAAATGCCTGCCGGAAATCCATTTCAAACTAAATCCCAAGACCTCATAAAACAATCAGAAACAAGTGATAAAAAGATAAAAAGAGGAAAAGTAATCAAAAAAATTGTCGAAAACAGCCAGAAAATCCCCGTCCAAGTGGGGGGAACGTCAACGTTAATTATGTTGTTCAAGTATTTCTTGAGAGTTTTATGGTTCATTCTGGAAGAAAGCGGGAAAAAGTAAATGGGTAATTGAACAACGATGTCTAGATAAGATGGCCGTATTTGGGGAAACTTTTTGCTTATTCTTGGTGCTTATCATCCAAAAATAAAAAGTTAAATATCATTAAAATTAGGTCAAAATCCAGCTTCAAAGGTCTGGTCTCATTGTTCGTAAGGGAACAGCAGTTACAAGAGATCAACAATCTTTCCACTATTTTTCCCGAACTAACCCAAAACCCCGCCAGTTAGCCTCAAATTCCAAGCATTGACATGTGTTTCTTCTGAGATGGGTCCCAGAAAACAAGGTCAGTTATGATGCATTTTGACCGCCATATCCATCATTTATGCCATATGGGGATCAAAGGATTGAATGGATCTTTGAAGCTAGCTTACGATGAGCATTGAGTGAGTGCTATGCACCTCTAAAAACGATAAGAAGGATCAATCAAAAAAGTCAACTAAGGCATTGCGCAAAGTGTAACTCTAAAATACAAGCTTTTATTTGTATGTATGCAAGTATTCAAGGATGACAGGTTCAACCAAAACAAACCAGCGAAACATGATTTTTGTTCGGACCAAATATCAGCGAATCCAACCCTCTGAGCCCTCAAGCCCCTCAATTCAGACCCTCATCTAAACGAAACAAACTCTAAATCACCTGGAAAATCTCCCCTCTGGCCCTCATTAATCGAACTTTTTTGTTTTGTTTTCGGCGTCAAAAATAAAACGGTGTTACTCAATAACGAATTTGACGGATTTCTTGTTTGAAGTCGAATTCAGGGACAATCCCAACATGTGTTCTTTATTTCCCCTCGGGCTATGTGGGGGATTCATTCGAATAAAACCCAAAAAAACGCTCCCGCACCGTGCAAAAAACGTCTATGACGATTTTCGGAGGAATGAAAAATACTTTTTTTGTTTTGCTAAATCATATTTATGTCGTATTGGGAGCATTACTCAAAATGAATATAAAATTTTTAATAGATTTATGACTTTTGGGATAATAGTGTAATAACAACACAGAAAAAGTTTTCCAAGGACCAGAGAGAGTTATTCAGCGCGTAAAATGGTTTACTGAGTTGCTAATTTTTTGTGAATTAATCTTCCAAAATCCTCCGAGATCCCACTAAGATGCCAGATGGCCCACGTTAAACTTTCCTCAATTCGTAAAGCAAGTTCGTTTTTTTTAAGTTTGGGCCATAGCTAAAGCAATATAGACGAATATAATGACTAAATTAATGTCCACTTCTGTCCACCCCTCCCTATTCGCGGCCGTTCATAGAACTGGATATGTTTGCCTCTGGCCATGGCGAGTATTCCCAAAGACCGTATTGACTTTGGGATTTAATTTCGGTTCCAATAAAGACGCCGCCAAAGTTAACGGCGCCAGATTCCGGGACCGGCTTCGGCTTCGCGAACAAATTCCATTTATAATGTACAGTTGTGTTCGGTGTTCCCATCTTGTGTTTTATTCGGTTTCTTCGGACAAGCCTTCAAAACTTATGCAATTCCCCTGGAGGTTTAATGAAAGGCCCGAGGGCTGCCCACATTTAAATATTTTTTGCAGTCTAAGATTTTTCGGGTCTAAGAAAATGCATTAAAACATTAGCCGCTGGGAAAAAAGGATAACATAATGTCGAGGAGTCAGACGTAGCATGGTGTTTGCAAGTTCAGGGGATGAAACTATAAAATGTGAAAAAATATAACAAAAAGCTCAATAAAAACCACTATTATTAATAACTTCAACTTCTTCTTTTGAAATCTAAATGCCTGAGGAAAAATTTAAATATTCTTTGAAACTGGAATAAACCAGGATCATAAGAAAAGTAAGTGGCAGGAAAAATGGGTCTTCCCTCTAATTTGATTATGCTTTTTGCAGTTCTCTAGCCCTATCAATGCTAGATTGTGTGGTATGTGGTTCTACTTTCTCAATTTATCAGCATCTCTGCATACAAAGTCTTTAAAATAAGTCTTAAAGGAGCCACGGACATGCGTAAAAAGATTCAAAAAAGCTGCAGCTAAAGTTCTGACGTCTGCAGAATGTACAGTATTTGATTAGATTTCTCGTATCTTTCGGGTTGAAACTTCCCTATTATGTGCTCGAGTTCGTTTGAGCCAAAAGCTAGCAATCGAAATACTCTGTGAATCTCCTTTAGGCTCCGCTTTGGCTATCATATTTTTTGATGACAATTAATTTTTGAAAAAAATAACGAAAACCCTTGACCAATAATAAAATGACTTCATATACCGTTCATACCAATTACCATACCCCAAACCCCTCCCTCATCTGCTGCAAACAATATCGTCTAAATGTTTTGACGTCGACAATCCGAAACCTCGTTCGGCGTCGAGACAGCGGGAAGGATTTTTGGCCAGGACTTGTCAAAATTGCGTTTTCCCCGAAAAAGAAAACCGCGGGCGAAAGTAAAAATATAGGGGGGAAGATTGGGACTCAAGTACATCTATTTAAATAGAGTCAATCTTGTTAGGGAGGGAGTTTGCATTAGATGACAATCTTGTCTTACAGCCCCATTGGGTCAAGTGCCCGATAAAATTCAAGGAAAGACACATGTGAGTTGAGAGTATTTTGGCTATGGTGATATGCCTTTATACATTCTTCATCTTAATATCGATTAATTGATTTAAATTGGCAACTCTTATTGTAGTATCCGCTTTATTACCAGTTTTTCGAGACAAGTACAGTCTTAATATTACTCGTTGCATAAGTTATATTGTATATTAGATTATAATACATTTGCAGTTCATCTGAATGACGAATAAATATATTCTTTAAACAGTAACAGATCATTTTTCATTCAACAAAATCTGAAGGTAAAACAAGATGAATCAACCACGGGATCATTGAGCAAATGCGGGATTTAATTGGCTAGGCCTGAAAATTAGAGAGTTAAGTCAATTACGGGCCCAAACCCGAGGGTTCAAGGATTGAATGCTTACAGTTTTGGCTGAATGTTTTGTCGAAGAATCGGGCAATCGTATCGACTTCATCGTTCGCTTTGATAACTGAAAAAGTTGGTTTTACTATCCGAAAATAAACGGTCTTTAGGCTTATGTTAGTGATAAAAATTGAATGTACCACACTCTTTGTTACTTATAACTTACTAATTTCAGCGACCACTCTGACAAAGGCATCAGGGATCTCGTTGATTCCGAGCTCTTCCTTTGACCTCCACTGTTTTAGAGTTTCTGAAAAAAGTAAAAATAGATAGAGTCCCAAAATGATTACGGCGTCCTACGCCTAAAATACAGAATTTAGATGCATTTCAGTTTAAAATTCTTTTTTACTTTTTTATTGCCTTCGAATTACTAATTAATATTCAGTCAACAAATCGCCGTGCCCTGATTTTTAGTCCGTTTCCAAATTTCCGCCGAATAAATTATAAAACAAAAAAAAAGAAATATTACAAAAACGACACCCAGACGTAAGTATTGTAATATGCAAAAGATTTCGTAACATCCGATCGGAAGATGTGGAACGTCTTCGGATTAAAAATTCAGAATTCTAGATCATCTCTGACTCACGGATCTCACGTGTCCAGAGATTCGGATGTTTTCGAATCCGGCCGAGACAGTCTTATGGCTTCTGCTCGTCTTTTAACAATTCTGATAAACATCGGTCTAGCCGGTCGCTAATGGTCTGATGATTTGTATAATTGAATAATATGTTTTTTACAATCAGATAAAAGAAATTCTTGGCAACGGCTATGGGAATTATTAAACTGCGGGACAAATGGAACACCGTGAAATTGAAAGGGATGAAAGTACGACTAAGCTAATGCATCAATTACGAAAAAGCCGAATTTGAAATGAATGATAAGGTTAAAAAAACGGCTTACTTTCCAACCTCTTGGTGAGAGAGCGTAATTCAGATTTGTTGGGCCTGGGGATACCACTGTCAGTGACTTCTTCAATTTTTACAACTACTGGGTAAAAATATGCTGAGCTGTCATAGGCATATGAACATTCGGGGCCCTCTCGGACATACCATTCTGAAAATATTTACAGTTATAACATAACTGTATATAAGATGTTCCCTTGTTTTTGAAGGCAAATGCCTGCATTAAAAAAGCTACCAATATCAAAAGCTCACCACAATAGACTTGTCCGATCAACGATGCGTTCTCAATGTCATCGTATTCGATTTCGCGCACCGTCTTCAGAATTCTGGCGACCTTCTTGTGTCCACGTTCAGATTTCATTTTTTCGGATTTAAATCACCGTGAACCTTTGTTCGTTGAAGGTCGAAATGAAAAAAGTACCCTCTAAAAATGCTTTATAAGACTCTTGGTTAACTCATAAAAGACAGTGCGGAATGATTTCACGAATAATAAGGGAGTGTTCTGAATAATGAAAACAAACAGGTCAGTGGTCTACTGCGGAGTGACGCGATAGGTCAAAAGCTCACAATCAGCTAAAAGGGTCACAGAAGCTGCTATTATACGATAACAATGTGAAAAAGAGGGAAGCTGAGAGCATTGGGTAAAGGTTATTCAGATGGCCAGCCGTTTTTGCTGTAGTTCCTTCGCCGGATATCAACGGAATCGGCCAATTATATGGGGTCCAGGTAGTTTGTGATATTTCACGTAAAGTAAAAGATATTTTTGAGGTAGGAATTGCAATGATGACTGCACTAAAAGGGTTGCTTTAAGACATCTGACGTGTTAAACTTTAAGAAAAGTCGATTATTCATCCTTTATATACCCACCGGCTTTGAACATTTACATAACACAAGCTGGTCACACTCCACCTCCTCCGCTACAGTAAAATGAATCCAGACCTTTCCGCAACCCAGAAAAACACGGAGAAACGTTCGGATTTCCACCGCGGTCTTTGCCCTCCCGCGCCATAAACAACATAAAAAACGTCTTTATGTTGGTCATTCCCAACTGACCATAGGCCCCAAAAGAAAGAAAAGGAGGGCTGATGAGTCAGCCTTGGCCATGTATTTGCATAAACACATCAACGAAAGAGTAAGGAAAATCCGAACAAAATTCAAACAAAATTTCCATTTTTGGTCTTTCTTTTTGAAAATACAAACAGTCATGAGAACACGGAGGGATTGCTCACGTTGGGGGAAAGAAAAACAAGAATCGGGGGAAAGGTTATGGAAATACAACAGAAACGTCCTCAAGCCGAGATGAATTCAGTGTGAAAAGTAACGAAAGGATACAAAGACCGGTCCAATCAGAATACGTCTTCGAAATTCCACGTTCAACAAGCGAAACAATGACGTTTGATAACCATATAAAACATCATATCCCATTCCTTGATCATCTCTGAGCGATGATCCTTCGCTTCTCTCCCTTTTATCCAGCAATTTGAGAGATTTTAAACCATCTCGAAGAAACAGTTCAACCCCTTTTTTCTTGGCAATCAGAAACAGGAAGATGGAAGCATCCCGAAACGAGCGAAAGCGGAGAAAATGCGGGAAACATATCGAATATGCCGCTAACGTTGTTTTTTACAAAACACAGAGCGATCAGAAGATTTTTTAAAGCCGAAGGACACGAAAAGTAGTCGAAATGGGACGGAAATGTTTTGTGTCCAAGTTTGTGTTGCGTCAGTTTTGTAATTGGCAGGAATTTTGTGGCGAAAATTCCTTAGCCAGTAATGGCCAAAAACTTTGCAAAGAATTAGGTTTTTGGTCCGCTGGACTTTCAACGCCAATTAGATGCTAACGTAACGACAGGTTTGGAAGATGACACAAGGCGCAAAAGGTTGCAAATACTTGGACTACACACCATGCTACTCCTACACAATCTTACTTAAGAATTCAGAATGCGGTGGTCCAGTTCACCCTGTTATGTTTGCGTTATCAAAACTATTACATACCTTACTTAGTCTTTAATCTTTAGACAAGAAATTTTGACTCCTCAAAATTTAAGTCACCTTTCGTTAAATTTTTCAGTTTTAGCCCGCCTAGGCCAACTAAATTATGTTCATTTATTATTGCGAGCATGTAAAACGCCCTAGGTAAACTCAAAATGGGCCTTGGGGCGTGTAATTAACAAAAAAATTCTCCGCATTTTAATCTACGAGCGACGGCTCAAAAAGGCTTCATAAAAAAAACCTACGCATAAAGTGCCACTCCATTTGTCTAAGCCCACTTTTGGGGATCTGGACCTATGTAAGTGTTTGCTCAAGGATGGAGATGATCAAAAACTATGAAATTACGGTAAATTACGTAGCCTTTGGATATGCAACGAAGCTGGGGCCAAGAATTGATAAGAGTGCGAAACAATAAGCAACAAAATAAAGGGCAGCACAACTCCTAGTCCGATGTCTTTGTTTAAGTCATCAGATATGCAAATTCAATGAAAAAAAGTTTTACGGGGCAAACCGGAAAGGATACTAAAGAAATCGACTGAATAAGACTCCCCTTTTATTTTTTGAGATTTTTTTGCGATCTCTGACTCCTCCCCAAAAATAAAGGCCGATCGAAAAATGCCGGGAAATTTGAAGTTGAATTTGCTTTTTTGATGTTTCCAAATCTCATGTGAGCGAGTAAACAAGGCTGTTGGAGGTTTTAAGCGTTCGCTACAACGTGACCGCGCTTTTGGAGGGAGATCAGCGGTTCGAAAATGTTTTTGGAAAGTGATCTCTGGAGAAGGAGTCTATCAAAGCAATGTAATGTAAAAGTATTAAGAGAGGTGACAGATTGAAGACGACATATTTATTATATAATAGATATGGTAATACAAAAGGGATTTGGAAAAACAGTTTGGTAGATCGGGGAGTATATATAAAGTATAATAGAAGACTGACGAGGAAATGAGTTTAGTCACTCTGGACGTGTGTAGCATTCAAAATTTGAAAACAGACTCAGTGCTACATCTCAAACACTTCCCTACTAACGTAACGTCTCTTGTAAAATATATTCGTCCTTGGGATTTTATTTTTCAGTCGACGGAATACCAAATAGAAGGAGAACAGGAGAAATCACATTTTAGATAAATCATCTGAACTGCAGACGATACACATAATCATCAGGTCAAAATATACTTTCCCACACGAGATAAAAGGGATAAAGTCAAGTTTTGACAAGTATTTTATAGCGCTTTATCCCGTCAAATACATAAATCCCGAGATCCGCGTATATCTACACTCTGTCTATCACTTTAATTATCTGTTATTTCCCTCCCCCAAAACTTTACAACATTCGCAGTAAACCTATGACATTCAACATTCAAACTGCGTATATTTGAAAAACTAAGCGTCAATTTTCCGAACGAGTAAGCTTTAGATTGCCTGGAATATTTGAAAAACGCCATGGAATGCGATGAAAACAAAAAAGTAGGGTGCCATGCAACATGTATAATCGAAAAGTTTGGATGATGTGTTGCTGTAAATCTACGTAATGGCGTTTAAATTAACCAGTGTACACCCTGAATATACGTAAGGGTATGTGTACTTAATAAATATTATACAAAATAATATAAAATAGCCTTTATCTCTGACTTTTCACGTCATGTTAGCGAATTAATGACAGTAAAACGTCGATTAAACATTAATGGAATGCGCTGTAGCACCTGACATGTTCATTCTTAATCCTAGACCCTACCTTAAAATGCTTTTAACTTTCTTTACTTAAACATTTACAATGATTTATTTATTTGTCAAACAGAATAAACTTATTTTACGTTAAATAACACACCCCCAATTAAAAATTTAAATTTGAGAAGTTTTGAGAGAAGGGGCGATAGTAAGAGTAACGGTAAACATGTCTACTTCGGTTTGACCGGATTTTTTCGTGGTGCAGTTCAAATGTTTGGAATTTAAAACTCAGGAATATTTGGGGTGTTGTTGGTTGTAAATATACGAATTTATAAGTTGTTGGAAAAATGTCTCAACGCAAATGGATGAGTACGGTCTTGTTGAAATAGCCCAGTCAGGAACAGATCAAACTGTTGCTTGATTTTCTACAATTACCTTGTCGAGCAAATCTGAACGGGTTGTTTTTCAAGGCGTCAAACTTTTAGCCGCAAATATAGCTTAATTTTGGAAAATTTTATAAAATTTCGGTACACGCAAAGTGGGTAACAATCGCCTCTCGGGTGCTAACGCAAAAAATCCTCTGTTAACTGGACTTCAAAACATATGTATTTTAATAGTATTAGAATTGCACATCATGAACTTTGCTCAACAAAAATAATAATCTAAAGCATAAACTGAACCCAAGGAAAAATCCTCATGCAAGCATCAACAAGTATGCCCCCAATAATTATCCAAGCGAGTAATCAAAAGAATTTCCAAAAAATTTACGATACTTAGATTACATCACGTCTATTGAAGTCGTTTGGAAATGAAAATATCTTTACGAAATTCGTTTTCGAATAAAAACGAGCTGGATGAATCGATCAGGCCGCGGAATGTCACGGACATTTGGACCGAAAAACGCGAAAAAACGAATGCAACTTTTAAAGGCGATCGAAGAAAAAAACCGGAACCTTTGTTTGGAATTCCATTGAATTGGGGCCAGAAAATTAATTGCCAAGGGACTTGAAAGGAAGTCATATGGTATCAATGGAGCGATTTATGGACTTTGTACAGAAGTCAGTGGTACAGTCTTTGGAGAATGTGATTACTAAAAATTTTAAAAAGAAGATTCTCGGAGATATTGGGTGAAGTTAGGAACAAAATAAGAAACCCTGCTTTAATTAATATCATAAGAATACAGAATAAAAGTCGTATCTTGTTTATCAAATACCTCTCTCGAGCTACTTACTATTTCAAATATCAAAAATATATTTTTTCCCCATTTGCTTTAGTTCTTACAATAATTTGGAAAGCGACCTTTAGATCTGTAAAGTTTCAGTCATGCAGTTACATTTCTGGGAACTGTTTACAGTAGTATTAAGCCCTTCGAATGCCAAAGTTTGTAATAATATTATAATATGTAGTAACTTCGAATTTTGCACTTTTTGATTATTTTAGTTTTGAAAACCTGCAAAAAGGTCAAAAACCAAAAAGATAATGCTACGACAGAGTAAATAGCTGATTCAGAATCTAAAAAATCAGTCTTTGATCAAACTTGCCATCCAAAATAATATCCCGAATGTTATTCAAAACAAATTTCAAAACTTTTTCCGCCCAATTTCGCCCACGGAAATATTTTGGGGCACAGTTATTACAGCAAATTCCATTCTATTTTTGCGTCCAAACCCGCCGTCCTTTCGTTGGGGACCCCTATTTTTAGCTGATCCCAAACCGATCCATTAGAGTCGAGTCGCGTCATTAGCATGTAAAACGTGATGTCATAGAGAAGATCATCAAAAATCATGAATAATATGGGTGTACAGAGAAGTATTATATAATTAATATACAGATAAAAAACTATACGTAGAATACAACATTACCTAACAAACATTGATTATGCAACCGTAAATGGGGCATAAACAAAATTAGAATTCGAATTGTCGACGGCACATTCGAAGGCTGTCCTTTATTCTATCAGTTCGAAGAATTATAGGTTTGTTGCTTATATTCACAATCAAAAGATTCCGTGATTTTTGAAGATGTATTCGGAGGGCTCAATGTGCTTGGTGATTTCTTCCATGCCCTCAAGGATTCTTTTATCGTCTTCGATTGGGACGGGCTCATCTGGGCACAGAAGTTGGAATAACTCTTCGAAAGAGGGGCGAATCTCTGGGTCCTGAAAACATTATTATTGTTTATGTCACGCTCAAGAATAGTTCGTCTGTAAAGTCCCTTGAGTGATTTTGGTGGCATGCACTGTGAGAAAAGAAATTTCACTCTGGACTCTCAAATTTGGTGCTTTTTGCACCGTTCAAGTGACTTTTTTGGGTTATTTAATTTACACTTCTCACCTGAATCCAGCATTTTTTCATGAGGTCTTTCATTGCCTGAGGGGTATCCGGCGGAATTTCTAAGGCAGTCTTTCCACTGCAAATCTTCGCCCGAGCAGTCTTACTGCTATCTTTTGGGAAAGGTTCAGTGGCGCATCGATTGAAAATCTCCCAAGTCATGACGCCAAAGGACCAAACGTCAGTTTTCGAGGTGAAAACTCCATCCTTGAAGGTCTCCGGAGCTAGCCATTTTACCGGTACTCTGCTTCCTTTCTCGATTTTGAACTTTTCCCCTTGGCATGACAATCCAAAGTCGCTGATTTTGACATCATCTTCTTTGCCTAGAAGGCAGTTCCGAGCTGCAATATCACGATGGATAACTCTTCGCAGCGCCAGATAACAGAGTCCTCGGACCGCGTCTTTGACGTAGCTGATGAGGCGTTTCTCGGTGATATCCTTGTTTTTCTGGAGATGTTTGCGGAGACAGCCGCCGGGACAGAGTTCCAGGACGATCATTAAAGGTTCTTCCTAGAAATAGAGGGGGCGTTTTGCAGTTTTAGGCATTAATGGGTTATTTGCCAATGCCATACTACCCTTACCTGTGGTGCAATTCCATAAATTTGAACTACATTTCGATGATGAAACAAGTACATAATATGCGCTTCCTTGATAAAGTTGGCTCTGTTCCTCTTTTTCACGGCTCCTTTCAACAATTTCACTGCCACATCAATTGTTTTCCCATCTTTCTTCAGCACTCCTTTATGAACTGCTCCAAAAGCACCACTTCCCAGTTTATCGCCAAGGATAATATCATCATGAAGCATGTAGAAGTCGGGTCGGGAGATTGGATTCAGAAGAAGAGCACCGTCGCTTTGAACTGGGACCTTCTGTTTCATATGGTGTTCAATGAGTTCTGAGATTTCCTTTTTTTTCACACCTCTAATTGTCCATTGGCCCTCGAGGTTGCTGATGAGAATGTGGCGGATCCTTCTGTTATACATCACACTAATGCTGATTCGCGGGACCTTCGTCACTTCGGTCTGAAAAATTGGGAACTTTTTTTGATGACAATGTTTGTGAATTTTGGTCAAAAATTATATAATTAATTGCCCATTTCTTAGCCGATTAGGCCTAAATCCAAGGTTCTGTTAGAACCGACAATACAGTAGTCCTGTATCTACCACAACTTACCTTTCTGAGCAAGAAATCCCCGTCATTCTTCAGCAAATCCTCGATTTCTTCCCTCGGCATCATCCCATGATAATATTTTAAAGCTACTAGATGATTGCTGATCTCCTTACTATCAACAGACCCGTCACATGGGGACACTCCGGTCACACTCTTGCCCTTGCTGCTTCGAGCAGTGGATGTCTCCGCACTTCCACTGCGCGGAGTTTTCTTTCCCGATTCTCTTCGTTTTGATTCAACTTTTTCCTTGGACAGCCGCTCTTTCGACATTGTGCCAACCGTTGGCGGATCCGAAGGGTTCGTGAAAATGAGGAAACTCGAACAATTTTGGGGGTTTTCGCACGAAAAGCGAATTTTGAAAAAAAATCGGTAACTCAAAAAATAAATAAATAAAAATTATCGAAAAGTATAAGAAGTGAAGTTTCGTTTTACTGAGGCGTTTATCCATTACAAAAAGTTATGCAAAAAGTTAGATATGGGATTGATTGATGACTTTGGCTCTGATTAGAATGTCTCTCATGTCTCGCAGACTTTGGAAAACACTTTCGGCGAACGCCTCTAGATTTGATTTCTTGGATGTGGTAAAAGCTGAGAATCCAATATCAATACTTGTTTCCCCCGGGTTGTAAAGAGCTCCATATCCATCATCAACTAATGGAGCGTAAATCATCCGAGGTCTTGTGGACATGGGGACCTGACTTGTTGAGAGGTCAAAGGCTGTTAATTTAGTCATCGCATTGCAAGAAAAGAGCGGAGGCAATTCGGTGTTGGTTTGGTTGGCAGCGATCCGGAGTCCAAACAAATGACGGTCCATTCCTTTGCCTGCAAATAAAGAAATCTGTTAGCTAAAGCCTTTAAGACTATATTTTTTGCATTTTTTTTATTGAGGAATCATAACTCACCATTAGCGCATGTGTCCGAATAAGCTTTATGCGCTTTGCACGCATCATTCAGCAGATTGGCCAATTCTTTATCGCTAATTTGCTTTTGATTGTTAATAAATGTCTCCACAAATAATTTTGACTCCTCATTTGGCAATCGGATAGTCTCTGTTCGTCCATTTTTGAACATCCGAAGCGACGCGCTTTCATAAGCATTCCCATGCCGTTTATGGAGCCGATAGAAGCCAAGTTGTAATGCAATTTGAATAAAAGAATCGGGCGAAATCTTGGCTTCTTTAGGTACACGTTTCCCGAATTCCTCAAAGTTGTAATATTTACAGTCCACTTTTGCGACCAATCTAAAAACTTGTGTTTTTTAGTCAGTGTTGTCATTCAGCTTACTGTTCAAGACCTTCTGCTGTCTTTTCAATCGCTTTTTCATCTTCCTCGGTCAGTTTGAAGACCAATTCTTGTGTCGGAGTGGCCACAACATCATTCTCATAGGTCTCCACAAATCCCTGTTCTCTCTCTTTGATTACGGTTTTGTAAACTGTCTCGATTACTGTGGCTAATGGAGCTCCATCAGCCGGAGTGTGCTCGTATAAAACTCCATAAAAGCCGTCAGTATCAAAGAACATGTTGAACTTGTCTTGCCAACGATTGATTGAGTTGTGTTTGGATCCATGACCATGCACTCCATTTAATAGATGGGCATCTTCATGACGCTGGCCGGGCTTTGGTTTGATTGGCTCGTCGAGGCCGACCACAAAGAGAGCGTTTTCGTAGAGCTTCAAGGAGTTGGGGTATCGGGCTAAACGAACGGAAACGTATTTTTTATTTTCAATACCATTGTCAACAGTTTTATGTTGCGGAGAGAGTATTATTAAAATAAATTGAGATACTATCACACCCATAAATGCCTTTCCATTTCCCTCTTCTCCCTCCCCGAAAACAAAAAGACCCTTTCCCGCGAGAAGTGGCCCGTGCAGCGATGTCCGAGTGGTTAAGGAGATGGACTTGAAATCCATTGGGCTTTGCCCGCGCAGGTTCGAACCCTGCTCGCTGCGACTTTCTTTTTTCATCCCAAAATTCATATTTTTTACCAACCTCTAAGACGTTGATAAACTGTGGCCCATGTGTCCCTGTCAGCAGATGAAACAAGATTTATAGGCTTCTTATTGAAGCTATGGCTTTGTTTGACGATTGCTTTTAGTTCCTTGAGGAGTTGAGGTTCCGACAAAATTTTACCATGGATGTCCCAAACAGGCATAATGAACGTCTGAAGTTGTCATTTTAGTTGCGTAATTCAACGACACAAAATTCTGCAAGAAATTTTCTTACATGGCCCCTTCTAACCACCACAATATGCCCTTCCAAGTCTTCAAATTTTTCTATAGTATACAGTTCATCACACTCTGGCTTAGGGATTCTTGTGGCGGCAAAGAATCTGTGATGATGGTCCATATCAAGAGGGCGTCCTGCGTACTTTTCTGCAGGCAATTCTCTTCTAAAATGCGATTTTCATATGAACCCTTTAGAAGACCAAGTTACAAAGAAAGATATTATTTTCTGACTTACTTTTTAGCCGCAATAACAAATCTTGTAAGGACTTTAATTACTTTTGCAGTGTATTCCAATCTGGCATCTTCTCCACGTCCTTCAATGCGTCCAGCGGAAATTCCGACGCTTGAATAGATAGGTAACGGCTTCCGATATCTAAGATATCCATATTCATTCCACCAGGGAGTTAGCTAAAACTTTTAAGTGAGCCTTTAAGGGACCAAACGTATTTTTAAATTCAAAATTCTCACCCAATTTTCTTCATTGTTAGCCCTTTCAAGAAGATAATTTTGTAACTTCTTGGCTTTGGGACTGTCCAAAAACTCTTTCACTAGCCTTACAGCTTCATTATGATCTTTTTTGTCAGCCAGAACCCTCGAAAAATACAAAAATTTGGCGAAAGTTTCCTTTAACTCTGGAACAGGCAACTTTAACAGATCCTGTTTGCCAATATTTGACGATGACTGTTGAGATCGTGACATCTGGAAAAGTAAAAATTGAAAAACTCTAATCGCAATCTCTTAAATCAAGCGTCTGTAAGAATAGACCGCGTTAGACTTAATTGTCTTGCCTTCTTTTGAATCGAAATTACCGAGACAAAACAACAAACTTTGTACCCACACCCATGTTAATCTTTCATTGCTTGCTCCTTGATACGCGAACCATATGTTCAAGGGAATCCTTATCGGAACGAAACGTGAGGTCAGAAAAATTATTATTACAAAAGCCCCGTTCGAGGTGTTCGGGATGAACTTTGTATTTAAGAGAAGATGACTCTGTGATAATTGAAAAGTAATAAAAGGCAAATGGGCATTCTGCATGAACCTAAGCTGTTCAGAGAAAGGAAGCTTACATATGTAAAGTTCTGTAAGATATAATAAAACAGACTTAGCTGCTTTCCAAGGACTCATGAGAAATTAAAATGTCACCAAGAATTTACCGTTTCGTAGGGTGAAAAGATAACTTCTTCCTTGATACCCGAAGTGTGATGATCTTACATAGCGGTAATTTTTTACAAAGAACCTAAACTCAACATTGATAAACTCCCACACAAATTTAACCCTTTTCGATCTCTCCAAGGGAAGAGATAAATCCCATAAACGACGCGGTTCGAGCGCACACACTTGTTTTGTGTTTTGTCGTGTTAAGGTGGGGAGCTACACTTTCTCTAGTAGTCGGCGGAAAGGAGAATACTCATCGATGAGACTAGTTAGAGCACAGAATTTGTTTATTCAACCACAGTTTGTACGAAACATGACAAGTCGAAGCTTTTTTTTATTAATTTATTGAATCTATACTCTTCTGTAAAGAAGTATTAGTAAATAATGATTTCACAGCAATCAAACTAAAGGTCGTTAAAAGTAGTCATAATTAATATTGATATTTCCCGATGTGAATCTCTGTAACATCTATTTTTGAGGGCAACTGTAACATCTAGTTATTTCTTCTGTTCATTCTTCTCCGCCTCTTTTTGACCCAATTCGACTGCTCCACTTTTAATGGTATTGTTATCTTCCAGTAGTGTTAGTGTACTCTGTGGCTCTGGATTTGAGTAGTAAGGAGTTGGCTGGGCGACTTGAGGGAAGTATCCTTCGATTGGACCATTGGGAGCTTGAGGCCAATACTGGCCGGCTAAATGTAGCTGGGCATACTCAGCAGCTTGGGGAACTCGGTCATATACATTTTGATACACTACAGGCATCATATGGGGCTGAGTGGTAGCAAGTTTAGGGATCCGAGACCAAGCTGTATCGGCTTCTAGAAAAGTAAAAAATCATATCAAAATTTTATGATTTTTTTTTTATTTTTCTGCGTCAACATACCGGGTTTATCGATATTGATCTGATACAAATTCCCAGAAAAATCTTGCTGCCTTGTTGTCACCACCACCTCAGGAGCATGAGAATTCATACTGTTCATGGTGATATTTTGACAAGCTTGAACAAGTCCGTGGAAATCAAATCGGTACGCATATCTCTTCCCATGCACCTTCTTCATTATGTTTTTGTCGTAGTAATACCTCAAGGCTCGACTCAGCTTGTCATAATTCATGTTGGGTTTACTGTAACAGTCCTTTCTATCAAAATATTTAACAGATTATCTTTACCTTTTCCGTTCTCCCCATTTCCTTGCAACCTCATCTGGATCAATCAATTTGAACTCGCCCTGGGGGCCTTCCCATGCAATGCAGTGACCGTTGAGCTCGCCAGCCGCGAGCAATTCAAGGAGGAATTGCCAGAGCTGGACTTGGCCGCTTCCCAATGCTAAAGAAAAAATATTTTAACGTAAAATTTTAGCATCTTAAATCTCGAATATAAACTTTGGTTTGATGCCTTACCTTGAGGTGGGAGTCTGGCCAGAAATGCAGTATACTGTAGATTCTCCGCTGCCAAAAGTTGATCAGGCCTTGCTGCACAAAACGCCCGTGGTTGCTCCAACGGTTGCGTCAACAATGGATTTACCGTAATATCATATTGTGAATGTCCACTTGGCTGAACATAGCTGGTCGAGAAGCTATCATTAAGAGCTGACAGCGTGGAGAAACCCTCAGGCCATGCAGAAGGCGCCGAACTTGTCGGGACATCTGTAAAAAGAGGATGCTAGCAAATTTTACAACTAAAATGCGCCCTGAGGCGTTTCTGTAAGACCCTGGGATTTCCAGATTTGATGTAAATAAAGCCCAGATCCTAAAACATTATTCGGGAAAAGGAAACGGAAGCGACAAGAATTTTGGTCCGCCGATTTCCGCCGACCGGAACAGGAAAACGCTTATCAGCGGAATTCGATTGGAGCCCTCCGGCGGTGGGCAAGGGTGGAAGCAGTTTTATTTTCGCTACTTGGCGGACGGTTGGCCAAGTTCTACTGGGCTTAGGGGTTACGGTAAATATGATACGAATCTGGGTTTTTCGATTTCAGAAGGGCTGGGGAATTACTTCAGGATACAGCTGTAATCGTTTAAAAAATAGTAATAAGGTTTCTTAACTGACTTGCTATACCTTTTACAGCACCTACAGTATCCCTTAACATAGTTCTAGGCGATTATGCTAATACTTTCTTCGAGAAATCGCAAATTTCCGTCGACATATTCAATCAAAACTTACGTTGCGAAAAATTAGAGCTGGAAATAGGCATAGTAATCAATAAATATTATCAGATGAGTATCTGTGTCCTCCTTTCTCTTCCTACCGCAATCTTCAACGTAGGCCGCTAAATGGCAACTCCTGCGTAGCCGTCGACTTGTTAATATTTAGCCTTTACAAAACAAGTATATCAAATATTTTTTTCATAATCTTAAGGCGGAAAACTTTTTTTAATGCCCTCAGGTAAGAGACGGTGAATGTAAATGGCATGCGGCCACAGCGGGGACCTGGAGGGCCGGCGATTAGTCCAAACGGCGCTCGGCTCGGACGCCATTCATCCGTGCCGCCAGCCAAAATACAAGCAAATGAGGAGTGAGTGGGGGATAAATTCAATCTTCTAATCCTTTGTTATCAGTACGATCTGTTTGACATGGTAGACGGAAGCGGTAATTGAAGTCACAAGGAGAGTTGCCAAGAAAATCAAGAGTTCTTCACGCTTTGGCAAAGGCAGTAAAGATATAATAGTTCCAAATCGGAGTGTACTTTTTCGGCCATGTGATTTTGATGAAACTTAGAGTGATCCAAACCCAAAGAAAAACTATTTAACTCCACATTTTGAAATAAATTTGTGAAAGCTTGGCCTTCAAAGAACATTTCTCTAGAAGTCTCTCGTCGCCTTCAGTAATCTCCTTCCCTCTCTTTGACAGCCCTTATCCAACTCCAATCAACTCTTCCATTTATTCCTACTTTTCAACAAAATTTCTGCTAATAATCTCCATCTCTTTTCATTTTTACCGTACTCGCCTCCCCGTCTCGAATTAGTCCCCCCGCGGCGCTCATTTGTCAGTTTCCGGCCCGGCACTGTGCATTAGATGTTACCATAACAACCGACCTGGAATGTCAAGCCAGGCGTTAAATTTCTTGTAAAAACAAGACTTAAGAAATGGATTAAATCGAGAGAAAATCGGGTGGAGAAGGGACGTCAGAAAGGGACAAAGAAGTGACTGGGTCTTCGGTGGAATAAACGGGGATTAAGTGGTAATACAGGGCTGTACTGTAGACCCAAATCTTTGTGAGATGTGAGAACACCGCCTTCTATTAATTCAATCCGAATCTCCGTTCATGTCAAATTTTATTTTTTCATTTTTGAAAATTTTTTGAAATGGGCGAAAACTTCAGAGTGTGGAACAACTGACTGAATACAAGATAGAATTCGAGAATAACTGTAAAAGCAGAAAGACATAAAATTAAAACATCAAGTAAGATTACACCGCATAAGAACATTTTCAACAAAATACAAAGACAGTAAGCCATAAAAGGTTGGACACATTAATTGTCATCCTTTTTGTATATGATCTCCTCAATTTCCGCTTTCTCTCGTTCCAGTAGATCAATTAGAAGATAATGCCTCTCAGTCATCCATTGCGGATTCGCCATTTGCCAGCATTTCATCTCAGTCAGCCAATTGTCGGCCAGGTTCCGGCGATAAAAGAGATCGTTTTCTAGAGAGGCGTTTTTGATGAAGTCGGTTATCTGAAAGAAGAAATTTACAAGTCAGTTAAATTTCTACATTTATTATAGATCATCATTTGCTGACGAAAAAAGATAAAAATGAGGATCAGTAGTTGGATGAAAAAAAAACGTCCCCTTGGCCACATCCTACTAATTTTGTGCGGAAAGATATAATTTTTAAAAGAAATGCTAGAAGAAAGTCTACCGTCTAATTTTAAATGCCGCCACACTTCAAAAACGTCTCTTCTCATAAGCCGACTTACATTGCGAAAAGTGTGTCGATCGTCCAAATCCAATTTGTTCTTTTCCGAAAACGAATCCTTTGATTGGGTACAGCCCATAACCTAAATTACAATTGTAAGTGATAGAAAAAGAACACAAAATCTTCATAAAATCACGGTAAAATATCAGATTCAATCACGACAAAGCACAAATACATACTTTGACATTCGAAACAATACTCATTTCCCAAAAATCGAACCGCTTCTTTTTTTCTTGACCGTGTTTGACCCTTCGTAGATTTCGTAAAAACAACGTACTCAGGGTCTAAAGAAAGAAAATTAAATGGTGATTCAACGGTTTGTAGCCCCCAAAACTGATTATGCAAATCTCGAAACGCCTCATAAAAAAGGTCAATCGAAAGGCATGGAGAGACGAAAAGTAGAGATCGAGGCTTGACGGCATAATATGTAATTAAAGCATTTGTCTGGGAAACCAAAAAATAAAATTGCGATGGATATAAATTTGGATGGGCAGGGTGAAATTTTGTCCCAGATTTGTTCGTTTATAATCCCGACAGCAAAAACAAATCATCTTTTTTGTTTATCACAAAGAAAATTTTGATGGGCCAGGTACATAAAGAAGGCAAATGCAGTAAGCACTAATTATTTAAAATTAGGAATTAACCATGGCAAGTCCGAGAAATTAATATCGTAATGTCTCAAAATGATCTATTTTTTGCATTTTTAAACCCAAAACACTGATCCTTCCCCGCCAAAAATACGAATCCATTTATTCAAAACACCCCTTCCTCCCCATCTTTACATACTGCCTGAAATTTGCATTTTGCCAACAAAAATCAGCTCACAAAGAGAAAAGGGAAACAGCGAGAGGTGAGTTTGGACAAAGAAGGGCCAAATAAAAAGGGCCAAGCCGGCTGAATCTGCGCGGAATCATGATTTATGACTCATAATGGCAAAGAAGAATGCACAACAGATATGGAAATAGTAGATCGAGATGCACGTCGAGAGGACTGTCTTTTCAACGTCCAAAGTTTAACGCTCAACACCTTAAAAATGATGAATTCACGTCAAAAAAAGGACAACATTTTTATTTCACTCTCTTTTGTCACTGTTTAAAGACGTCGTCTCACGCAGAGAGCCGTAAACTGCATTAAGAATCTAAAATTTAGGAGTTCTAGGTCCAAAAAGTTCATCAACCACTGTTTTGAACCATCTGGAACCTACTACAATATTCATTTATAATTTTAAAAAAAGAAGCCGAAATGTTGACGCCAAAATAAACAGTGATGTGTAACTTTCAGTTCAGAGTTTAAACCGTGGAGCTTAGATGTCATTTGATATCCGTATATTGGAGAGCACGAGATGTAATAGGAAGTGAAGGGGAATGTAATGAACACTGCTAAAGCAACACGTTGCAAGGAGAAAACAGAGCAGATTTATTTGCTCATGTAATGTCAAAAGGTTATTCCATTCATTCATCCGTTACTGCCATCGTTTGCTTATTGTCATCTTACCTTGAGATGAGTCCCGCCACGAAAACAAATATTCGAAATAGAACGCCAATCTTTTTTTATTATTTTCCGGAAAAATCAAGAGAGAATTTTCTGGTTTCCATAAAAGCAACGTTCATGATAACAAACAAGGCCGTTCTTTTCTGACTCACGTATTGTTTCGAAATATTACATTTGGTAGCAGGTGTAAATCCAATGGGTTTTCAAGCTAATTCCTCGCTTTTTTGGTTGCGAAATACACCTCTTTTCTTTTTACTTGCTGTGACGAATATTCGCGCATGACATTGCTTACGATTTGGTACAGATTTCAAAATTTTTTTATTTTAGATAGTTATATATCTGAATTTGAATATTTTCGGATATGTCCGCAAATACGGCGCATACGGCCGATGGAGCTGGAATACTGTTGTATTCTGGAGAAATGTAAGTCATTATCTAGTTTACTGATGTTTTAAATTTAGGATCATATTATATGCCAAGCATGTTGAGATGACCTTCACTTCGATTACTGAGAGTTTTTTCAAAGGGAAGAAGTACGGAAACCTCTACTTGACCTCTCATAGAGTAAGTTGCTGCTCTTATTTTAAGTTACTTTACCCAAATCAGTAGTAATGCCTTATTTTTTTATTAAATTTGATTTGAATGCCTCTAACTGAATTATATTTTAGATAATCTTCCTAAATGATGACAACAACGCTCTCAAATCCCTCTCTATGCCTTTCAGCTGCATGACGGATATAAATTTGGAACAGCCTTTGTTTGGCGCCAATTATATCAGCGGGAAATTAACGGGACAGCCAGGAGGAAACTTTGAAGGACAAATTGGATGGAGATTAACTTTCCCCAAGGGTGGCTGTATCGACTTTGGAAAGGCGTTGAGGCAAGCAGTCATCATGGGTAAGATCATTTTTATTGTTTAATATAATTTGTAGTGCAAAATCAAGGAGTCCGACCTCCGAATGCCCCACCTCCGTATGTTCCACCAGCTGGAAGTTACTTTGCCCCTCCACCGGCATATTACTCTGCCAATCCAACTCATCTTGGACAATTCCAGGCTCCAACAAATGTTTTCCCGGATAGACCAGAAGGTAAGAGATCCTAGATTTGTCCAGATTTACTCTCCTGTGGTACTACTTTCCGTTTTTAACAGAACTTTATGTCGCGAGTGTGCATAAATTGGGCAACATTTATTTTCAATTTTTAGAAGGAACTGTCTATGTGTTCGAACAGCCTCCTCCATATGCAGGAATACCATTAGCTAACCAAAACCAACTCTATCCTGACCTCCGCCAGCGAAATGTCCACAATCCAGAGGTCCCACCTCCATATCCAAGTGAATCAACCACGAATCCAACGGCTCCTCCAAATTATGACGACGCCACGAAACTACCCGAGAAACCCAAGGTCGCCTGATTCACTCAACGGTCACGGCCATTCCCTTTCTGGTCAACTTATATCATGATATATATATTCATTCATGTGCAATGTCACTTGTAACATTTTTTTGTACTCTTATTTATTCGATTAGCGATAAAGGTTAGTTGGGTCAACTGTGGTTTTGATTTTTGATTTCAGCTTCTGAATGAAACTACAGCACAGCTTCAATAAGCCGGTAGGAATGGTGTTACAAAACAGCTCCGCTAACAATCGACCTCAAACTTTTGAAAGAAAAACGGTCAAAGCTTTTTAGAAGACCTAATTCACAGTTTTTTTCTTATTGTTACATGTTCTATTTATTTGCGAGAGTTTAAATAAATAAATACATAAGTGGGCAAGAAGATATCACAGGTTCAAATTAATAAGATATAATGCCATATAAGTTATCTGAGAACATGAAAAATAATACTGAAAAATTCTTTGAGGATAATGGAAATGACCAGTTGATGGGAATGATATGAATGAGATGTGATACTGGTAATGGATCAAAATACTGGCAAATTTTGGAAAATATAGATCAATTGAAGGCTTTTGAAAGGTCGTCCGCATAAATGCAAATTTTATTCTTGCCGGCTCTTATTAGATCCCACGAAGCCTAAAGATTGCTATTATAGCTAACAATTAACTTACTTTCACTGCATTATTAAAGGGATGGACATCGATTAAACACACAGTATGCCCATTGTTGAGGGCTAAATCCACCGCATTCCCGACCGTTCCTTGGAATGCCGTTAACGTGTATTCATTCGCTTCGAAGGCGCAACATAAACTTCCGGGGATACTGAGACGGTTGTGTCTAAAGATCGAAAATTATACCAAAAATTGTGATTTGATTTTACATATAAATTAGATAGTAACTTGCAAAAAATCGGATCTCAAATCGATCATTAGAACTTGATTATTGGAGATTAGTTTCTTCAAGTCGGAACTGTAGATGTACGGGGCCGCGCAGTCCAAGTAATTTGGTTTCTCCCATGAATGAACGGGAAAGCCAAAAGAAGTATTTTGTCGCCGACTTTCCGATGAATTCTCGCGGTGAGTGACCCCAGCAGGGACCGATTTATACAATTTCCAAGCGACCACTACAACTTCATCTATTCTGATATCTAAAAGTCATCAAATAAAGAACAATTAAGGTAAATTTAGCTATAAAAACCGAAAATTTCAAGAAATATTTATAAAACCTTACCAGGAAGATCGCTGAAAAGTAAAATAGCATCATTGAATTGCGCATTCATCAGCATTTGTTTGAAATGCAATAAGATTGCGACTCCGACAAAGATTGGGAAGGAAGAATCGGCCAAAAGAAGGGTATCCCATAAATGGAAGATCTTGTGTAACGGGAAAACGTGGGCAAAACAGGTCAAAAACCACGAAAATGCAAAGAGCTCCGGCTGGAAATCAAGGTCCTGCATGTGGGTGAAGAGTTCAGCATCAACGAATGACAGGAGTTGCATGAATACTGATAAATATTCTGAAATTTATAATAATCAACATAAAACTCATAAATGACAATTTTAAAACAAAAAAAAATTAAAATTTCCTTTAATGACTACAGAATTGTCCTTGACGAAGAACCCATACAAATACCGGTCAATAAACTTCCGGAAACATGAGAAAGCCTGAGGCAAATTATCAAAATTGAGGTAGAGGAAAGGGGCGGCCAAGGAATCCAATCCTTGCCAATAAACATAATCCGTTTCTTTGTTCAGCCATGATTTCAGGAGGATCTTGAGTTTATGATGTGCTGCCGGGGTCGCCATCAATTCATCGTACTGGAAAAATAAACTTACTTAATATGTTTTATATTATATTAACCACGGCATTAAATCAAAAAAAAAAATATTTACCTGATGACAACGCGGAATGTCCACCTGTAATTGTCGATCGCTCGCATGCTCCGATAAGGCATCCACATCACTGAGGACATCGATCAAATCGTCCTTGTTGATATCTAACAAAGCCAACCAAGCTTCAGGACGATACACAGGAGGAACATCCGTGGCCAGTTCTTGTAGCAAAACATCGCCCTTGAATGGATACGCCTTGATCAGACGGGCGATTCTACACATTCTTTGGGCCTGATAATCGATATCCCTTTCCTTTACCACCAATGATTGGTTAACGAATTCCTTTTCGTACTTTCGATCATCAATCGAGATCTCGACACTGTCCCGGAATGGAGTTTTATTCAGCGATTCGAGCCGTTCATTCAGGTGATTACATGGCAACGGGACCACATTTGTTGTAACCTGAAATAAAACACCATTAAAAAATTGATAAAGATCGGCATCAAATAACATTGCCACTTACCTTCACATTCCTGCAATCTTCATTTCCAAATTGCTGAAAATCATCGACAACCATCGTTGGGATAGACCTAACCGGTGCATTCATTCGAATCCACTTGTTATGAATCAATATTGATGAAACATCGGCCCCACACAGATTCCATAAATAAAACAATTCACTCAGAGGCCGTTGAGGAAACGACTCCGGGACTTTAGCAGGATGTCGAAGCCACTCTTTCGTATAATTTGTTGTATCATGAATAGTCTCCAAACCGCTTATCTCTTTCAACTTTTCGAGAAGAACATCCGAAGTTGGTCTTTGAGAAGGCAAAATGTTGAGACAATTCGATATCAAATCTTCAATCTGCTTAGGGATTTGCTTTAACCCTGATGGATTATGGAAAACAGATCGAACGCGTTCAATTAGAAATGGATATAACGACATTCTTTGAGCTAAAAACAACAAATCATGAGGATATTATTCATCAAGTAAAAGCCAACCTTTTTTGACCAAAACATGCAATAATGATAACATTTGTTTCAATCCCCAGACATCACATAGTCGGAAACCTCCAAAAAATTCTAACAAAAGGATTCCAAACGACCAGATATCTGATTTATAAGTGGCATAACAGTCGTTTTGTAAAGTCGCTAATCTTTCTGGCGCCAAATAATAAACACTTCCAATGACATGATCAACACACCCTTTGCCAACGTGATACAAACCATACCTAGTCAACTTGATAGCCGGATCTTTGGTATTAGAGATCACAAGATCATCAATAGACATCTGGCCTACTATAATATAATGATGGTGAAGATAATTGATAGCGTCCGCTAATCCATGTGCCAATTTACAAAGTTGAGACTGAGAAGCACTAAACATTGAAGCAATGACATAAAGAAATGATAACTTACTCACTTTTTAGCAATAGCAGATCCAAAAAACTTGTCTTTGTAATGCTCGGAGATGAAGATCACGATATTTTGAGCTGAAAATCGGCTTATAATAAGTAATTCACCTTGCACAAAATGCTTACCCGTCTTACATGACTGTAAGTCCATATACTGGCACAAGTATGGATGAGTGAGATTCTTTAAATCAAAAAATCTTCCCAATGCCAATGAAATTGCAGGCGGAGTCGCCAACAAGTTTTCAGTCTGAGGGATATTGACTTCTCCCGCATCCAAATACTCGCTGGGGACGTTCGTATCCCGACAAACTAAACAACACGCACCGAAAACAACACCTTCCGGCATGTTTTGCCCGTCCTACAGGTTCATCTACCTAAAATAATTTGATTAAAAAGATATTCAGATGAAATCTGTTTGTTCGGATATAAAAACGATTCTCCTGGCAACGTGTAGCGGTGTCAACTTTTATAAACATTGTTTGACCTTCAACTTTACAAAAAAGATTATTTTTATTCCGCACTTTGCGCCCTATATCCATAACTTGGACGTGTAATTTTATACGAAGAAATATATACCAAAAAAATTCGAGAACTTTATTATTTACAGCAACTTTGTACAACTTCTAATAGACCGTTTTTGCAAAACCAATCCGGTTTGAGCTCATATCATAGATGTGGCAGTACTTTCTGATCATTGGAGTCCCAAATACCCAAAGATTCCCATTGACCGGTGCCATCTGAAGATTGCACTTGCCGTGGTAGCCAGTAATAAGATGTTTCTCGGTGAGCGAGAGACGAACTCCATTTATCTAAAAGAAATTGTTGAGAACTATGGCGGAAAATGCCATGTTTCAAAGTTTTTCATTGTTATGCATGGCAGGAATGCCTTTTTTCTATATTGTTTTCTCAAATTTCTTGGATTCTCTTACCTTGAAAGTCATTGAGATCTTTTCCTCACATTTTATTGCGGGTACTTGCGTATCGCTTCTCAATCCCAGCAGCTTCATTATTTTTTTGTAGATCTCTTTTGGCACCAAAATAGCCGAGGTCCCAGTGTCCGAACTGATTTCAGATTCGAATTCGACGAAGATCCCATTGAATTGCAGCTGATTTGCGTGGAATCTCCAATCTCCCAAATGGATAACATCCGTGAATACGGCTTCTGGCTGACACCATCTCGAATTCAGGCTTCCAAAGCTAATCTCTCCGCCCCAAGTTGATTCTGTGGGTTTAGATGGAAGAGGAGACATGAAAACGGAGAATATTGGAGGATCAAATTTAGATGTGATCCGATTCCTCTCCATCAAGGTTACTAGTCCATGACTTTCTCCATATCCCAGGCCAAAGATTCCATCATAAGGGCGGCTATCGGCTTGCTCATCGATGACGTCAGCGACTCCAAAATGGACGTAACCGCGGAATTTAGGGTTGTAATAGTCTCCGAACTGAATGGATTCATATTACAGAGTCATTTCCGATCAAAATTATATTCACTAAACTCTTACCGATACAAAATCCGTGAAAAGTTTGCCATAAGTAACCACCCCATCGTCATATCCTATTCTAAACTTTCTTCGTGTCGTCCTGGATGTTCTAGATAGAATTTCGCTGTAATATGTTCGTTCTGTTCCTATTGAATGAGTGGCATTTTTGCTTCGGACCCAGGTTAATGTAGATCCGGTATCAAACATCATCTGGAAAGGTCGTGGAGGGATACCAATATGGATTGTGCCCACATAGAACAGATTGTTGAGATTTGTGAGAATCTGAGTGTAGATTGGTGGCTTCTTGACTAGCCATGTGACGTCCTCCCATCGACTACTTTTTGTCTCCCCGTCCACAGGGAATATTGATCTTTTTGGCACAGCCACTACCTTTTTGACGATAGGCCGGTTTTTGTTGAACAAGATGACAGTAGCATCATTTACAATAAATAAGATGAAAATAACAAAACCGATTCCCCCGCATGATGTCATGGAGATAATGTCGTCTAGGGTGTTCGATGAGCAAGGTCAAGTTTCATGTAGCGGCAGTCAAGAGTCCCTTGCGACTTCGTCTTTTCGTTGAGGTAGAGGTGAGTAATAGGCGAGTTGGATATGCAGTATTGTTTTGCAAGGTGATGGATAAGCAGTTTAGGAATGGTGCGAACGGGGAAGGTAATGATGCACGAAAGCGGATTGTAACGGAATTAGTTGGCTGTAGATCGTATTACGGAACGATAAATAGAATTGAGGATGACCAAAATAAAGTTGTTAGCAAGGATTCAATCCTTGTCGATTTGGAAGTAGAAGGTTAATAAAAAATCCCGAGGTCTGCCTGATCTCCGACCAAGTTGAACTCGGGAATCTAGTGAAAGTGAGAACCCATGGGGGCTCAAAATTCTCCTTCCGCATCGCTGTAAAGTCACCAGTTGGAAACGGTTTTGCATCAGGTTTTAGGGCTCTGCTCACTTTTCACTTGTCGAACAACTTTTTTCGCACAATTCTCTTTTACGCAACGCCTGGAACAAAAACCCTCAGGAAACGCGCGGGGTCTTGTCCTCCGCGTTTTTTCAGCGAAGGTTTTAACGTTGCACTGTTTTGCGGGTTGTTTTTGCGGCTTCGGGAAAGAGTTTGAAGATTTTTTAGTCATCTGTAGTTGACGCATACCACGAATTGGTTTTTGTTGCGTAAGAGGCGCGCAGCAGTGTAAATATTTTTTGCTAAAGGAGTGCGCATACAAGCCATAAAGTTTCTTTTTTATTGCAAGGGTTTCATATGCTAATAGTGAATTACAGCAAAAATAAGGTCGCAATCCGAAAGTAATAAGTTTAGTACTTTATTACAGTAGAATTCGTGAAGAGTGCATACGATTAATGTTGTAAAAAAACTAATAATTCGTCTGAATAAGGATTGTCTCATCAAAAAGATATCCGAAAGATGAGATTTCCATAGAAACAAATGATAACATGAATGGTCTGCCTTCTCATTTGTCTGATGGTAATGTATTGGTAAGATGGGAGAGGCTTGGGATCGGTTCTTTAGGTCCAGGGCAGCTCAGAAAGCGGCCTATCATGGGAGAGCTGGCGCTAAAGTAAGATGGTTACTGTAACTTTCATGCAAGAAATTGTAGCAAGTCAGATCGTTTCCAGAATGGACTTCTATGTTGGCATTGCCACAGGTTGTCTACTTCCGAAGATTCTGCAGTTTTTTCTGGTTTCTGTTGTTCTTGGCTGCTCTGGGCATTGCTGCATGGCAACTTATTGAGACCATCAAAAATTACCGAAGCTACGGTTTTACTACAACAAGAACATTGAACTTTGATGCTCATCCCTTTCCTGCTGTAACTGCGTGTGATCTAAATCCATTCAAACGGGATTTGGCCTATCAGAATGCTGAGGTATCTGTTCTCATAGAAAACTCGAGCAAACCGCTTTACTTTAGATTGTAACGTTAATGAATGCACTGGAATATGCATTTGAGAAGACTCGCTGTTCAACGAATAACTGCACGGTTGACACTAATTCAACTTTAGATAGTTATATCAGCGAGTATGGCCTTAGTGTAAGATCAAAACAACCTCAAACTTATTTGACAGGACTTAAGAGACACTTCAACGGTGGTCTTGCAAGCATCGCGATTGCTGACGTTGATCACTGGATCATTAAATTTGACGAGTGCTTCGGCGCAGTATGATGATTTCATTCAAGGTTGCAGTTTCAATACGCAAGACTGTGTTGACACGTAAGCTCGGTTATAGGTTGAAAATGCTGAGTTATTGAATTTATAGCGACTGGACCAAATTTGAAAGCCAGGCAATGGGAACTTGTTTCACGTTCAATATTGCTAAGGCTCGAAATGTCTCAAGAGTTGGCCCAATTTACGGCCTGAGGGCTATTATAAAAACCAATGTTTCGCAATATTTGCCAGTCTCTCCTAGTGCTGGATTCAAAGTTTTGGTTCACCACCAAGATGAATATCCATTCCCAGATATCTATGGGGTGAATGTTATGGTCGGCAGTGCCGCTATGGTGGGAGTAAGGGCTTTTATATGCGTTGTGTAAGATTAGTCTAGGTGTCTTACACTGAAGTAACACGCCTCGGTCAGCCATACAGTAAATGTGTCCTAGACTCTCCGGAGGATTATATTTATCCGAAGAATTATTCGACCGAAGGATGTTTGAGGTCGGCATACCAACTGTCCGTAATTAAGAATTGCGGATGCTACGATCCCTCTTTTCCGGCATCATCTAATCTGACTGTTCAGACCAATGACGGGACTAATGTCAGCATGAAACGGATTGGTGCTTGCACTTTGGATAATTGTAAGTTTTTGTACTATTGTGCAAGGGCGAAAACGGCAAATGTGAGTGATATTTGTAGATGCTTGCTGGATTTCCCAGAGCGATTCCAATTTTGTAAACAATTGTACTAACCCATGCTATGAGACGAGCTATTCCGTTGGCGTCTCCTTTGCCAGTTGGCCAAGTGGATCTTCTTCGACTATCGGGGCTTGTATGGGCGGGGATTACGGTAACTTGACGTGTGATGTGATGTACGCTCAGAACGGGGCGTTGATTCAAGTTTTCTTCGAAGCTCAGAGCTATGAAGTTATGGCTGAAGTTCCAACTTATCCGGTTAGCAATCCGCTATAGAGTTGTGATTGTATTTCAGACGAGCAGTTTCTTATCCGATTTTGGTGGAACTTTGAGTTTGTGGATCGGAGGGTCCATATTGGTTCTGTTGGAAATCGCTCTTCTGTTCATACAGGTACTGATCTCATTTTTCGTTTATATTCGCGTTTCTTTAGTGCGTTTTCACTTGCATTTGTCCTTGTTGCGACAGACATATTGGATATTGAACAACTCATTACCGTCGAAAAATCTAACTTTTTACTTTTTGTTTTTAGCCTTTCTTTTTCCCACATGAAATAAACATAAATTTAATCTTGAATGCAAATTCGGATGGCACCGTCATGGATACGCCAAACAGAAATGGAGAACACCACACTATTCAGTTTTTGGATGGGAAATGCAGGCTTACAATAGGTTCAAGGACACCAAGAGAGGGGCCAAGACAATCTACCATGCCCGGTCTGGCTATAAGGTCGGCTTGTCATGATTGCTGATTTTTCAATTTGTTTTAGCAAATTCGTGTGTTTCCTGAATGGACCTCAGCACACGCCATTCCGTTGGTCGGCCGTTTTCATCGTTTCTGCAGCATTTTCTGGTTAGCCGTCTTCTTAGCTGGATTGGGTGTTGTTGTCTACATGCTTGTTGAAGCGATTAAATCTTATAAAGATTACAAGGTCTCTGTTCAACAGACTCTCAGCTTTACCAGCTATCCGTTTCCGGCAATTACAATATGCGATTTAAACCCATATAAGAGAGATATTGCTTATCAACGTCCAGAAGTAAGACGGCGCTGCAGGGAGACCCATCAGATATTTTAGATTAAAAAGTTAATGGATACCTATTCTTATGCATTGCAAAAATCGTTTTGTACGAATACCACTTGTAACGTGCCTACCAACAAAACTTTGGATGGCTATATGTCAGATTATCAGTTGACTGTAAGAAAGACCTTGAATCCGTGTTCAAATGCGCAACTTTGTTGTAGGGCCTAAAAAGTTCCACAGCCATCAATTCGAAGGTTCAAAAGTTGTTGCCGGTGATTGCCGCTCAATATGACATGAGTGCAGCCGCAGCTCAATACGATGACATTTTGCAAGGTTGTAGTTTCAACTTGCAAGATTGCCAAGATGGGTAAGAATCGTAGCAAAAACGGTAACTCGTACTTGTAGGGACTGGACCAAGTTCAACAGTCAGACAATGGGGACCTGTTTTTCCTATAATATGAAGGGAAACAAGAATGTCACGCGTGTTGGTCCAATCTACGGCCTTCGGGTCATAGCCAAGACCAATGTTTCGCAGCTGTTACCAACTTCAAGCAAAGGAGGCTTCAGAGTTTTGGTTCATGACCAAGGAGAATATCCGTTCCCGGATGTGTATGGATCTGATGTGATGATAGAGAGCGCGGCGTCTTTGGGGGTGCACAACTTTTCTTTGTTTATATTTTCTTCTTGTTACTGTCCTATGACCATATTTTAGGTTTCCTTTACTGAAATCAGCCGGCTGGGAGGGCATTATGGTAGTTGCCATGACGATCTGCCCTCAGGTTATTTGTACACTAAGAACTATTCTACCGAGGGATGTATGAGATCTGAGTATCAAGCGGAAATGGTCAAGAATTGTGGATGTTATGATCCAACTTATCCGGCGCCAGCAAACGCAAGTTCCTCTAGTTCAGATGCCACCACGGATTTGCTGAATTCTGTAGACGATGACTCTTCCAATTCCACCTCAACTGCTAGTTCCAATGAGACAACAACGGCAGCCTCTAAGTCGTCTTCGCGAATTCCGATGTGCACAACGGATAATTGTAAGTTGAGGATTTATTGCCGTCTTTCGAAGAGGACTTTATTTAATTTTTAAAAAATTGTAGTGGCTTGTTGGGACGAGCAGTTGAGTAAAACCATCAACACAAACTGCAGTCAGCCCTGTCATGAAGTTTCCTATGACACTTCTGTTTCTTTTGCCCGCTGGCCTAGTGGATCTTCTTCAACGGTTGGGATTTGTATGAGTGGGGACTACGGAAATGAAACTTGTCTGGAGATGTATCAAGAGAATGGGGCCTTAATTCAAGTGTATTTTGAGCAGCAAAGTTATGAAACGATGAAGGAGTTAGCTCAGTATCCGGTAAGATATAAAAGACTAAAGAGTAACATGACAATCGCCTACTGTGACCCTTACAAAAAACAAATATAACGGCTTCGGCATCCCGTTACATTTATGAAACGTTGTACCGTATCTAAGCAGCCTTCCAGTCCCTCAAAAACAGAGTTCATTCATAATTAATATTCCTGATGTTGTCAACGTTCCCGTCTTCTCTTAGCAAGACACCTAACCTCTTTATTTAAAGCGAAATGATGGGACCATATTCATGGGCTCTCCCCTTCAATGTTTACTTTTGAGTCATCCGTTTTTCCGAGGGTTATCAGAATTTTTTCCTTTTTTCAGTTGTCGACCGTTTTCTCCAATTTTGGTGGTCAATTGGGGCTATGGCTGGGCGGATCACTAATTATGGTCGTTGAATTTGTATTACTTCTGGTTCAGGTGCGCTTTTTTTACTATTAAATGGAATTTCGGTCGCTTCCGAAAGATCGAAATTTCTTATCATTAATTTTCCTTGACGTCTTGCAATTCGGACGGCTTTAACAATATTTTTTTGTAGCTTTAGCCCAATAATTTGGTTTTTCTTTGGCTGTTTATTGACATTCACGCATTTGCTGGCGGTGTTTTAAAATCCGCACGCGTTTTTTTTGTAATTTGTAACGCCTTTTTTCTGATTTCAGTGCACCTTGGCTCTCTGCATTCCGTCCTCCGATAAACTTCTTGGATATTAATTTATTTCTCAATAACTTTATGACCTAATCTACATTCAATAAGATCTCTTGTGTTATGCAACTATCTCAATTTAGGAGTCTCTTGTTCCCTCCTTGAAATAATCCGAATTTATGCGTTGTAATAAAGTATTCAAATATCTTCGTGACTTGCGACTAAATGTCACTGGGACAGTTAACGGTTTGCAGTATGCAGAAAAGGTTGTGCTCATTGTCTTGGGGCTATTCAGTGTTAAGTTTTTGGCTGATGTTGTGGTGGATGTATATTGGTTAAGACATCAGAAACTACCTCCAAGAACATGCCGATGTAATAATGAAAATGTAAGTAAAACCAATACATGGTAAAGTTGCTCTGTAAAATGTATTAAATGCCACTTGTTCTAATTTTAGTTTTGCTTTACGGGTCTCGACGCAACTCTCTCGCATATCAATGGGTCTGCTTTCCCTTGCGAGCTGTATCCTTATATCCAGAACTTTAACTTGCTTCAAAACGATATCAACAACATTCCCAATGACTTCGGTAAACTGGAAAACGATTGGACTCCAGTATTTGTAACTTCTGCCTCATCCAATCACTTTTATGAATTACGACAATACGTCAATGTCATACGGATAAATTATAAGAAATCAAAGATTGTTGTCTACGACGTTGGTCTCAATGGAGCCATGGTAAGAGTTTTCGATTGGTGTTCTTGTTGTTTTAGACTACCTTGTAGCCCTTAATAATTTCAGGTTGATGAAGTCAAAAGCTGGTGTCTAGTCGAATATCGTTATTTTAACTTCAAGCGATATCCAGGACATGTAAATCAACTGATGAACTACGCGTTTAAAATAGTTATTGCGGATGCTTTAAAGACATATAAGAACTTCTTTTACACTGATACCAGTGTTCGGTTTCTTAAAAATTTTCATATTGATATCGTCAGGGAATTGAACCGAGGATCGATCTTACCCTTTATGACATTTACGTTCTCTGACCATGGAATCTACGGGGCCACCGATCCGGGTAAGCAGCCATTGTAGTTTCTTTATTCGTTCTCATCGGCTATTCTCAAACAAAATTAGATGATTTTTAAATTCAGGTATGCTACAGTATATCCCCGTTCCTTCCAACCTCACCAAATCCAAGGAATGGCAAAGCACATTGCTCGTAACTGACTCCAAATACACTCGAACTCTTTTAAAGTGGTTTGTTCTATGCGCTCTGACTGAAGACTGTATTTCCCCACCAACGGCTCAACTAAAGTGTAATTTCTACGTGGAAAACAAGATAACCATGGAGATGGGATGTCATCGATACGACCAGACATTCTGGAATCTGTATCAACTCTCGTATATATTCGATCCAATCCAAAGAGGAGCTTTAAAAATGGGATTAATCGATAAATGGCCTGAGGTAATGGGAGAAAAAGAAGTGAGAAATATACTAACTCAAATGGGATATCGATGGGTAACATACTCAAAGAGCTTTAGGACAAAGAGGAATGATGTGCTGTATGGGAAAATGAACAATTCATGTGTTTTATAGAACCATATTTTACATTGTTATCTCGTTGTTAAGTTTGGCTTTTATTATTTTTTTAAGTAAAAACATTTTATATACATACATGCATGCATTCGCAGTCAGCACATTTTCCGTGTGTTTTCTTGGCATATCACAATTTTTGGCAATGGATAGCCAAATATCAGAAAGTCATAATAATACATCTTGACCAGCATCTGCATTAAATATGGACTTGATCTGACCTCTTGTTCCAACTTCATCGAAATAATTTTATCCGCTGTGGAATGCCTCGTTCGTCCTGAATTCACTTGTCGTTGGATGAATCGGATTTGCTGGTCCGTCACATTATGACCTCTAAAGTAATCGAAGAGTTCGTTGAAGAATTGTTGAGTTCCATCTTTTGCTTTTGAGTACTTCAATATATTATACTTGGAGAAATGGGTCGCGAATTGGCAACGCCTGGAGAAATATATAAAATATAAATCATTACTGGTTCCTAACAAAAATTTTAAATTGACCTACCAATTCTGCGGGAAGAAGTGTTGATCGTCAAAAGAGGCCACCCCTTCACCCACCGCAAACCTCGTCATCCTCTCGTATTCCTTCTCAATAAAGCAAGTAACATTCCCTTCGCAGTTGTTACAAGTTCCACGTCGTTTTTTGTAAATCTTTTCGATCAGACATTTGTCTGTAAATCCGGAGATAAACCGTTCGATGGGATCTCGACTGACCGCCAAGTTCAGGTATTCCCTTTTATACTTTTTGTAACCCTGGATGGCATAAATATTATTGGCTTCGTTTTTGTATTTACAAAGGCTGAAAAGGAGGTTTTCAAGGAATAAAGAACGCTATCAATGCTGGAGTTCGCTTACCGGATGTTGAAGTCCTCCTTGTTGATACTCCTCTTCTTTTCAACAAACTTTTTTGAATCATATAAGTAGCAGATAATGGCCGTTAGAACAGTAGACATGTTCTTTTCAATAACACACACATTTATTTTGTGCCTATAGGAAAACTAATAAAAGGTTAATGAATTTTACACTCCTTAAACTTACTCGATATCTCCTTTCAAACAACACAAATGGCGGTATAATGTAATCACTCCTGTCATCTGGAGTCCATGTAATCCCAGAACTTTCATTTGTTCTCAAAGTTGCCTCGGGCTCCCCCCTCACTTCCGTATTTTTACTTGTGTATGAGATCATGAAGACACAACATAATAAAATTGCGAAAAATACTTTCCATAAGTTGTTAATCATAGTCAAATGTAGTAACTGAATAAGTATTGGCACAATAATTGCAAAAGGACAAGAGCGGATGTATTCCGATGACTCAACTATCCTTTGACAAAGGAAGTCTACATTAAAAACACTCGTTTCGGGGGAGTTTTCACAACAAAATGGGATTTAAACCCAGCCCGTTAATCCAATAATTCATGTTTGAAACGTGTTGCTGATTACCTGTTCCAACTCTGTTTATGTATTCTGTGCATTCGATAGATCTTGATCATCTACGTATGTACGGATTAGTCGATCCGATGTAAGGGCAAGAACGCAAAAAAAAATTATTTTCGTGAGACGTATACTCAAACCTTTCTTTCAGAAAGTCCGAATAGGTGATTTCATAACCGTTGATAGACCACGGAGTTGTGGCACCTCCGTGGTGCCACAAACTCCACCAATGCCATTGTACATACAGCAATTTCGTCTTGAGGTTTGCTTTCGATCATCTGATTTTTGTTAAGAAGTCGAAAAAAATATAAACTATCCATAAACAGAAAAAACATGTGCGGCTTTCATATTACTTAATTTCTGCATTCTCGCAGAAAAAAAGCGCTCGCATGGCGCTGTATACAGAAAGCTTTTCAGTGCGTTAAATAATTTCCGAGGTCTTCAGAGCAATTTTAAAAGCTGAGTTTCTTTAAGGTAATCAAGGGCGAATTGAACACTGTTTGTCGATGGCAACCTTTGATTCTTGGAACGAGTTGATCCAAGATCTCGAAGATGTTCAGCCAATTTCTCCGGCCAAGGAACTCTCGTTCTTGAGGTCGATCTTAAAATTGATGAGACGAAATCGAGAACGGCCGCCGATTGATAACTCCTTTGCGAAGGAGATGAAACGAAAATATTCTGGATGCAATCATGAGCAACTTGTCAACGCTACTGAAAGGATCATGGAAGTTCTTGTAAAACAGTATAAGAAGGTCAGATTATGGAGGGATGATCGACTTTGCACTTACCACGTGAAAGAACATTATTTGAAAATAAAGATGTAAGTTTATTTTTAGACTTGTATGAACTTGAAGTGACTTTATTCGCAGTTAAAGTCATGCTTAAATCGTTTTAGAATCCGATCGCTGATGATTAAAATGTTGAAGAAATCCGAATTCGAAAAACATGACGAAACTTGTGCCATTTGCTTGGAAGACAAGAGTAAAGATCCAGTTTATTGCCTCTTTTGTCAGCGAGCAGTCTCTTGCAAGAGCTGCTTCTCCCAATATAAGGACAGTCTAAGAGGTGCACGCTTCCACAAATGTCTGAAATGTCAGCGATTGTCCCCGCGAAACGGTATTTTTGCTGTATGTGAAAACAATTGTAGTCCTGGAAAATTTCAATTTTGCTGAATAAATATTATACATATAATATTAAAATGTTTGCTAGATATGTTGACAGACAAAAATTTAATTTACCTGCAGCTCTCTTTAATTTTTGCTTTCTGCGGGTAACATGAGTTACGTAACAGTCGGTGATTACCTTTTGGCTACAGAAATAATTTTGAGAACACAGAGATTTTCATGGGAAAAAATATTAGAAAGAAATTCAGTTGGGGTTTAATGTGACGTCAAGGAACGTTTAATATTTTGTTACTCGTGTCATTGTTTTCATAATTCTGATTTAGAACATTGCATTTGGGCGCACCTAAGCCTCAAACCAAGAATCTGGCCAGACTTTACGATTTTTATCACTTTCAGAGTACCAAAAATGGAACGACCATTGCCAACCCATTTCTTTCCACCTATGATCATCCATGATGGGTTGGCTCCTTTCTGTCATGAGATTCAATATTATGAAAATGAAGCCGAGACATCGGAAAACAGACCGCCACCTCCGGAAGAATTTGATTGGACCGTTCGTGGAGAATCTTACATTGTCCCAGATACGACTCCAAAAGAAAAAGAGACTGATCCCAAGCCAAAGAAACAAAGGACCCCTCGGAAAACTCGAGAGAAGCTACTAGAATTAGTCAAGATTTGTACTGACCAAATCGAAAATTTTGAATTGGACGCGGAAGAGTTTGGGTTGAATGATGATTACCGTTTTGAGCAATTTGAAGAGAATCGAGATTATAGTCAAGATCCATGTTGGCTCAAGTTACACAAGGATCTCCGAAGGTAGGACCTGCTGGTATCAGAATTATACAGGGTGTTTCAAGAAATTTGGAACAAATAATTTGCTTATATCTTTGTGTTCTTTGCGGCGATCTAAGAATTTCTTTTTGCTTCTAAAAATTGACGTCGTGCGTTTTTAGAATCTCTAAAAAAATTTTTTTTTGTGGCAGAAACGTCGTTGCAAATTATTTGTTCCAAATTTCTTGAAACACCCTGTACAATTCACGTCAATAATTATCGGAATTATTCCTATTTCGTCGGGGGAAAAAAAAGATCTGTCGATAATTCTTGAGGCGATTCTCAAATTTTAATTTATTGGAGGGAAAATATTTCTTGACTTGCAATATATAACATATTTTTTTCAGAATCCGCTCAAAACTTTTAAAAATGCGATCAGGCCCAAAATGTCTTCGCGAAACTGATAATTGCATTATATGCCTGAGAAAAAGAAGCAAAAATCCAGTCATGTGCCTTCAATGCAACAAAATCATCGGCTGTAAAAGATGTGTAAAAACTTGGAAGGCCAGTATAAAAGGTAGTGTATTCAAATGCCTTCGATGCCAGAGGAAATCTCCAATTAAAGATGCTTTATTCATTTGTTGGTCCAATACTGAATAAAACAAGAGTAATGGGAAAAGTTGTTGTGCTATAATAAATTGAAATTCAAGGTTTGAATTGGAAATTTTACGGGCTTAGTCACATGTCATGAAACTAAAACAATTTTGCCAAAACATTGGCATAATGAATCAGCGAAGAAAATATTTTTTGATTTTCGAAAAAAAATTTAGGTCTGAAAGTGGAGGAAAATGTCGCTAGAAGATCATAAATGTAGTGTAAATTCAACAGTCCGTCTAGCACAACTAAAACTATTTATTTTCCAGTTTCTTGATATTCTGTAACTTGTGATCAAAGCACACAAATCGGGGGTGGTTTTTGGAACGGCTCAACTAAAGAAGGTCATTTCAAGGGCGACAAAGCTCTTGTTGGCGGCCGTTTTTCTCTTATCTCTTCAATTCACCCTCTATTTATATTTAGGCCTTCTCAATCAGAATGTCGTCAGAGTATGGCGAGAGTGATCAAGACATTCTCCAGAAGTTGATCAGCCATTTCAAAACCCTTGGAGATCCGAACAACAAAAGATTCAACCGAGTAGCAGGAAAGGTGAGGTTTTTGGTTTAAAAACCACTTCTTTATTTGTGTTTAGGTAGTTCCGGTTTATGCGACCAGAGAAAAGGTTATTTATCATTTGACCTTGGAAGAAGAGCATCTGAACTCGAAAGGATCACTTCATGGAGGTCAGACTGCAGCGCTCGTTGATATACTGACCGCCCGAGCTGTTGGAGTACCCAAGGGTGATGCGGAAGCCAGCGGAACCGTTTCTGTCGAGCTCTCCGTCAGGTGCGACCTTGTTTTAGATACCTATCTCTGTTTAGGTACCATATCGGAAAAGTCTTTCTAAACCCCCTTGTTTTAGTTATATGAGGCCATCCAAACAAGGTGAACTCCTCGAGATCGAAGCGCGGATTCTAAAAGCGGGAGCCAGAGTTGCTTTCACGTCAATCGAGTTCAGGAAACACTCAGATAAGTCATTGATTGCCGCCGGAAAGCATACTGTAATGTTTACGAATCCACCCGAAAGGAAAGCATAAACTATCCTTTAGAGAAAGTCCAATGGTCGCTTTACTTGTGATATATTACAGAATAAGTAAACTAGAAACACATTTCTAATCGAGATTGATAAATTACATGTAATCCATGAAGGCTAACATCAAGTTGTGTCGATTTCTGAAAAATTAAGGTAAAAAAAAATTTTGTAGGTTGCGTAAAAAGTTATGTAGTAATAGAAGCATAAATGAAGTAAAGACTCACCTTTTGTACCAGTAGTAGACGAATTGCAAGAGTAGAGGCCAAACGAACATCAGAATCCAAACTCCGAACGGGAGATTCGATGATAATCTTTCCTGTCTTCTACTCGCAATCACACTCTTCACCATTTTTTGCATTAATCGTAGTTGTAGAGAGTTGTTAAACTCAATGTCTCTCAATTGAGTTTGCATTGTTTGAACGGTTTTCTCGATTTGGAATAACATTGGGTATGCGTAGGTGTCCTAAACAATGTTCTGACTGTAATTTCTGACCTACCATATGATTCACAACTCTCCAACCGGGCATTTCATTTGAGTTGTGACTGTTGGTACTCTCATCTGACTTGGCATCTCCTTTATTTCGACGACGTTTCGAACTCTGGGTACCACGGCGACTTCGAGCTGAAACTCGGGAAACTTTAGACATTACAATGAGAAATTACGCATTTTTTAATTGATTTAAACGGTAATAGGCTTACGACTGAGTTTCTCAATACTCGAATTGTCACTGCTTGAAGTTTTGGGGACCTGCCCCAATGTTTCCATGTTCTGGGCACTGGCTTTTCGTGATGTGGTTGGTCTAAAATAACAATCCTCCAGTTTGAGTCATAAATAATAAGGAATTTGGATATGGCAAGTATTGTGGTACAGAATTATTGGCTGCATTTCACTTCGCGCAGATCAAGTTTATTATTTTAATCCACCAAAAGGCTAGTCGAAGGGTTGGATTGGCAGCAAAATTGTCTAGCTCAGATTTTCATGCCAATCGATCTTTTTGGTAAGCTATTTGTCAGGTTTAAAAGCCCAGCCGACCCGTTGGCTAACCATTGGATAAACAGACTACAATCCATACCTTTGTTCTGCGTGAAATAAAACGCTTCGATTAACTTACTTCTCATCACTTTTGCTAGTCCCGGCCAGCGTCACATTCTTTTGTTTCAATAACTGCTTTTCGGCGTCTTGGACCATACTGTGGAGCTCTTCGTCTGAATAATCAGCTGCGTCTTCGTAAAAACTCATCTCGGCGATATCGTCCAAAACGTTCAAATCGGCGATTATGTCGCGGTTTGTCATTAACAGTTATTCATTGGGAGACCGGGCTTATAATGGAGTTTATAAGGCAACTGAAAGCTCATCAATTATTCAAAACTGTATAAAATAAAAAGACTTTAACGCGAAAATACGATCAGGGCAGACCCCAAATTTCAAAACACCTGAAACACTGATAAAATAGCGGGTTTGTAAGGAAATATTCTTCGATTAAAACCCTAAGGCTTTCTCTCTTCAAATCGATTGGTGAAAAACAGCGAAGGAGAAAACGCAAAAACTCCTTTTCGACGAAAGAGTGAACTAGAGAAGATGTAGTACCTTGTGTTCTCGCCTCTCTTTGACATAATAGTAGTGGTAATTTTAGAGGTAAAACAGTGAGAGTTGAAGAAACACTGATTTACTTATAATGGAAAATGAAAGATAAAATCATCAAGGTTACATGATTAAAGAAGGAAGGGTTGACTGATGTAAAACTAAAAAAAGGAAGCCATCAAGAAGAAAACAGGAAATAAAAACGTTTGAACGCTCTGTGAAGGTCGCCCTCGGAGTAACATAAATTATTTCAATAGCAAGATGCAGCGGTAATAATTGAAGTAATAACCGTAGTTATTGGAACTACAATGATATGGCCCTATGGCAAATTGATTATTAAATAAAACAATCTGAACGTTCAATGCGCCAATCTTCGAATGTTCGGGTTTTTACGGCGGGGAGACAGCCGGAGAGGAAATGTTTCTGCCAGATCTTCTGCAGAATGCTGACTAAGTTTTTTCAAAAGTCTCAGAAAATTTCTTTTTTGATTTTTTCAAGCTCCAATTCTGTAATGAATCCAAAGAATTCAAATGGTCAAGTGTTTTGTTTACTAAATTTGAAGAAGGTACAAGGAAGCTCCTCTCCCCATCCTCCCCACGGAAGACCCCGTTTTTGAGGCTTATCAAAAGAAATCTCCGAAATCTCGGTAAAGCACTCTAGAAATACAAATTAGCAATGCCACGACGCAAAACAAAAAGAATTTGAAAATGCGCGATAATCTGCCCTCAAATAAGAAAACTGAGGGGAGTAAAGTCTTCGGGGTGAAGATGTGGCAGTAATTAATCAATATTGGGAAGGTATTCAACTTCGGGCAAAATTTGCATGACTTATGGATTATGGTAATTAATGTACCACTAACGGCATCTACTCGACTTTTCTCACAATATCATCATTATGTCCAAATATTATGAGAACTTTGTCGTTTCCCATATTACTTATTCAGATTTGGTCAAAATAACGTTTCCCAATTTCCGCCAAGTCATTTTTTCATATTTTCCGAGGCTTTTCCGACCTCATTTCTTCTTATTCACCGCAACAAATGGCCCGGCAACTGACCGGTAGCGGGTTACAAAAAGAATGTTTTTGAGGAGAAAACAGTGACCTCTTTACTTCTTTTGTTTAACCCGAGCTGAGCTTCAGAGTGCAGGAGCCTCTGTTAAGGTTGGATTACACTATAATCCCAGTTTCACTTTTTATAGAGGGATAGTTTACCTGCTAACAACGAAGATGTAGTTTTAAATTAACTAAATTCAAAAACTGTCACTATGTCATCGTCTTTACTTTCATTTGATCATAAAGTTGGCCACGGATCTATGGCTCGAACTTTTTGCCCTCCATCAATTTGCACCGAAAATGTCGCGTGAAATGCAGAGTGTCAGCTGTCGAGAAGAAATATTTGGGGCTTGTTAATGAAGAGAGGCTCATTTTAAAAATAACTTATACGTTTCATGTTGTTAAGGCTTTAACTGAGGGAAGCGAGGTTCTAAGGGATGGGATCAGATTTCTCACAGATCTTTATACACAATAATATGTATATATGAAAAGCTGATCATTATATATAGAGACTTAATCCAAGTAGACCTTAGTCATTACTCATAAAAAACTCCCTCCAACTAGATGATGGGTGACATTATCCCAATTTTCTGACATTTTGTCACCGCTTTGTTGACAGTGGCTTTAGGGCTTATAATTTTTGGCTCATTTATCAAAACCTTCTTGGCTGATTCACACCTCAGGCCTCTACTTCCCCGACCTTTGGGTCATAACTCCGCGAGAGCAGATGTTTTTCGCTTAACCCTTTCCGGACGAGTCGGCACCTCCATGCAGAAATGAAAGAGGGTACCCTACTGAGTAACGGCATAATAGTGGTTCAGCCCATCGAAGCGTTATTTGGGACTTATGACAAAAAATGTCCTAAAAAGTACCCCCAGTTGACATAACCCTTATAAAATTTTGCTAACGACCTGTAAATTAGAAACTACCCCTAAGTTAAAGTCTAAGACCCCTACTACTGTTACATCCAAGAACTGTCCAAATCGGACCATTACAGGATTAGTTATCGACTTTTGGAAATTGAATTTTAAATTTCGACCAATTTTTGGCCCAAAATTGAGTATATCTTCCGCCGGAATTAACCATTTCAGTCTAAATGTGGTTTTTCTGAATCTAGAGTGACGCTAGCTTCTTCCCAGAATGTTTCCAGAAAAAATCTATAGGGCACGTTTCTGTAAAAAGCGAAAAGGTTGAAAGCGTAAAGGTTTCACCGTATAAAATGTCGCCGCAAGCCGAGAAGGGTCGGGCGCAGCTCGAAAGGCGAAAATAATATATATTTTTTTGAGAAATACTATTTTAGTGCGAAACTAAAGCAAAATCCAATGAAATTGCCTGAAAACGCATTAAAAATATTAAAATGACATTGAGTTAATGTTTGCGTGCTCTGTCTGTCTGTATTTCATCTGAATTCAGCTTGTCGACACTAAAATAATATTTTTCCAAGAAAAAATATTATTTTAGCCTTTCGAGCTGCGCCCGACCCTTCGCGGCTTGCGGCGACATTTTATACGGTGAAACCTTTACGTTTTCAACTTTTTCGCTTTTTACAGAAAAGTGCTCTATAGGTTTTTTCTGGAAACATTCTAGGAAGAAGCTAGCGTCAATGTAGATTCAGAAAAACCACATTTGGACCGAAATGGTTGATTCCGGCGGAAGATATACTCAATTTTGGGCCAAAAATTGGTCGAAATTTAAAATTCAATTTCCAAAAGTCGATAACTAATCCTGTAGTGGTCCGATTTGGACAGTTCTTGGATGTAACAGTAGTAGGAGTCTTAGACTTTAACTTAGGGGTAGTTTCTAATTTACAGGTCGTTAGCAAAATTTTATAAGGGTTATGTCAACTGGGGGTACTTTTTAGGACATTTTTTGTCATAAGTCCCAAATAACGCTTCGATGGGCTGAACCACTATTATGCCGTTACTCAGTAGGGTACCCTCTTTCATTTCTGCATGGAGGTGCCGACTCGTCCGGAAAGGGTTAATTGAGATCAAAAAAATAATAAATTTCCTCTGACCTTATTATACTTTTGACATAAACTTGTGCTCCGTATTTTACTTTTTCTTTAGCTTTGATCTCTGGAAATCTGCATTTACCCCATTTCCACACCACACAAATGTTACGTAATTAGGGAGGATCCGCCTAAGCCCGGGATTACTCTACTTCCGTAGACGATCCTTAATCAAATCACCCAAAAAAGATGAGCTCGGATGCTTTATCACTTGTACATTCTGGTAACTCGATTAGTGCGGAGGAAAAGGTAATCTGCAGAGGGCTTCACCTTGGGATAAGACAGGTAAAAATGTATTCCAAACTTATGAATTTTTGCCCATTTTTGAAAATATTACCCCATCAGTCCCCCATTTTTCGAAAAAAAAACCGCGCCCAATAAAACTAAATGAAGGCAAAAATACGGAGAGGTATTGGGCAGCGGTTATGCGCAAACAGCAGACGGTTAATGTGGCCTCGCGATTGGGATACAAGATGCGAAGTGACGGGGGATTTACACTCTCTTCGGGTATCTTTTTCGGGTGCCGGTTTTACTTGCCGGCCACACAGTGGGAGATCGCGTGGCATTCGCGATTTTTGGCATTAGGGAAAACAGAAGGTGGATTATAATATTCTTCTTTAGTTTACTATCATTTATGTTTCAGACCTTCCTTCGTTGTTGAAGATTTTGATGCTATTTTGCATTCCCATAGTTTTACCATGCTTTTTACGTTTTCTAACTATACAAAAAGCGATCTGTTTGAATACCCATGGATAAATGAGTAATGTACGATTTGTGATATACGAAAACAATGGAGATATTTGTGGACTGAACCAAAAGTATTGCGTAACGGTCAACGCAACGGTCATTAGAGACCGAAGGTGATTGATTATGGGCTCTCCGGTTTCCGTACAATATTCGTTTCGCTTCGTGAAGCTTACTTGAGTTCTCCATAATCGCCGTATATCTCATTTTATATTAATTTTGGTATAATATCAAGATATTTATGTTTGTAAAATACGTATTTCAATTGAAGAAGGGTTTTTGCAAAACTGAGGTTTAATTTATCCCCGAAATGATGTTTCCCTTCCTGTTCATTTCGTCGGATCCCAAGATTCTCTCGTTTAATCGAAGCGTGAATAAATATTTATATAAAATCTTCGCGCCGCGCAATGATCCAACTTTTGCTTTCGATAATCGAAAAGAAATAAGAAGAAGACTTTTGTATCATTCTCATTTAATGCCGCAATTCTTACGAATAATTTGCCGCTGGCGCCGCGGTTCTCGTTTTATTTGCACAGAAGTCTTTGATGCCTGAGGGAATCTAATGACAATAGAAAAGTTTTGTAAAGTGTTTCCGAATTTCGTCATCATTTTTTCTATTGTATTATGCATGTTTATCGAAGAGTTCTACTTTTAATTTATAGGATTTCTTTGTGATTTTTATATTTGTATAAGATAAGAATTTGTTTTGGGATGTGGGACGATAAACTCAAGGATTTACATTTCGTTGGACTCAGACATTTTTGATCGTGACTTGTGTCGCCGTCCGTATTTTACGATAATTTCTTTTATCATCAGGGCCCCGTTACAGATGATAGGTCAAAAATGAACAACTCTCCGTTGAATTCTCCCTCAAATTATAACAGCCTTCCAAGGTCGGCCAGTTCTTTGAATGGGACATTACCTCGGAATATACCTGCTAAAGGATTTGGAACTGCAAATTACATGCTGAAAGAAGAATATGAGAGGGATCGGGTTAGATGGCAGCAAAAGTTGGAGGAGGCTGAGGCAAAGTTAGTTGAAGCGTCCATTCAAAATACAGAATTAAGTCAGATTAAAGCTCAGTTGGTAAGTTATCAGACCTCTATTACCGTCATTTTGCTTTGATTTCTATCTAATTCGAATACTTTTTAGAACAAGAAGATAATTGATATAGAAAAGAACCAAAAGCCCTTGATAGAGTACAATAAACGGCTGGCCGAGCGGAATAAAACTGCCACGGAACAGTGTAAAGAGCTGGAAGATACGATTGCTTTTATTCGGGACGAAAATTTAACTTTGGTATGTTTAAGATACGTCTATCGTGGCAACAACATTTGTTGGAGAGTTGTTTTACATAATATTTTTTTTAGAAAGACTCCTATGACCGTTTGGCCAAGGATAATGCGGCTTTAAAGGAGCAGCGGGCCTTTCCTGAGCGTCTAGAAGAACTTGAACGGTATCGGGCTCAAGTTCTCGAACTTTCAAAGTGCATTACAGCCCTTAGGGCGTCTATTCAGGTTGGTCTTGAATTATAGTTTTATAATTTTTATGTTGATACATGTGATTGACGTCATTTTAACAACGATTTGATAATTACAGTAATATTTTAAGTTTTAATCTTCTGGATTGCTGTTGTTTTAGGAGAGAGATCGTCGGCATGAATTGTTAGTACAGAAGTTTAGAAAAATTAAGAAAACGTTGGCGGCGCGGAGGGATAATGAGGATGACAGGATAAGTTTTATCGGCTCGGAAGCTTCGACTGGCTCCACAATTGCGTTGGATACAATTGCCGAGGATTTGGACGAGGTAGGATCTTATCACATTTCCAAGATTTATTATAAAATACGAGGCGTCTTCTTGATGTCAAAGGTAAAATTTCTTTGCTCTTAAGACTTGGGATTGCACTTTAAATCAAAAAAGCCTAGAAAATCCAGAATCTGCGACAAAAAACTCTGAGAATCGCCGTTCATCATGAAAAAAGTAACTAATTTGAGGCAACAAAGCCATTCAGCCGCGAATTTCCAATCTCCAGCTGATCTCAGGCTGTCCTTGAATCGCAAGTTTCGCGAAAAGAGTGCCAGAATTAAGGAAACGGAGAGCAGAATTAAATGAGACGGTGGAGATTTCAAGAACTTTTCGGGGATCTTCGGGGGAAAGTTACAAGGTGTTCTCGGGGGGTGTTAATTAATTAATTATTCTTTTTATGCCTAATGCAAATCGGGAAAATATGAAGATTTGTTGCGATTGTTGCGTTTTCCTTTGATAATAGATTATTGCCCGTATATGGTGAGAGTTGTGAAAGGACTTTACTTACTTTCATTACGTTTGACTTTTAATTTTCGCGGGTTTCCTAAGCAAAAATCTGCATAATCCGTTTTATCCAAACATTTCGAACAATGAAATGACAAATTATGCAAATTTATCACTCGAAACCTGCGAAAATAAAAAACAAATAATGAAAGTTTGGATCTTTTAATAGGCCAAATGATACGACCCAAAACAGTAAAATTAACGGTTTAGCGCTAAAAGGTGAGCAAATCGTTAGTGAGTAGAGCTTGACGTTGATCGTTATCGGCACGCATTTCCTTCTGATTCATTGTTATTCTACAAAAACCCTTCAGAGGATGAATAAACCCAAGAATTCTTGAATTTTCGGGTTCAAAAGACTTTGAGAAAACCCCAAAATAGATTTATATATTTATAGTCATCTTTAAGACTCTTTTTATCCCATAATTTTATGAGTAATCCAATAACTTCCTCAAATTTATGCTAATCGGTGCCATTGTTTTCCCAATCTCAATCTTTTCCCCATAACTTTCAAAACATGTCAATTACAAGTTGAAAGCACTCATTTTTAGTGTAAATAGCACTACTTTACAACCCCTAATTTTAACTTGCATGATGCCAGAAATGCCATCCGAGTTTTTAAGTTCCCCCTGGGTATACCTACTCAGTATTTGTACTAATATGGATCTCCAAAAAGGGAATATAATTGCTGTTTCCGGTTAGTACGTTCCTGGTTCGGATTTCAAAGGCCTTGTGATGTTCGGAAAACGGGGATTTGTTTATTTACCAACATGTTTTTTGGGAAACTTGCAAAGGGTTCTCGGATCCGAATTTTGACATTTTTACTGTAGCTCTAAGTTTTTGTGACTTTTATTTTCAGTTTTCTCGACGCGATTCATATTATTCATCTTCCTAGTAGTTTCGAAATCTTTCAGCCAAATGCTGAAGCCCACACGAATCCCAACGATGATCCCCAGGGTAAGGTGAATGACTAGTAATAAGGCCCTTTAAAATATAAACCCCAGCCCAAAGCATCCAATTTTCGTTAACATAAACCCCCGAGAACGCCGGCTATTACGTATAATATTGGGTCTGAGCTCAGTGGTCAGGATGTACCGGGCGATTTACAATTGGCGGCCAAGAGTCCGGTTTAAGATGGTTGGTTTTGTTTGATACCATATCAGGGCTATGTGAAAATAATTTGTAACCTTAGCCGAATCCAGTTTCAGGTATAATTAGAGCTCTAATTGCTCATTATTACTTTTTACAAACCGCTGGAAACCGTCGGAAAAAGGTTTTGACTTCCCGTTTCCCTCCGGGTAAATGCATACTTTGTGTAATACCCGCAATTTCTTTCCATAAACACTGTCGGCTCAACGGGCATTAATCGGTCTTTACGGGCGGATATTCACTCTAATCGCGGATAGGTAAATATCGGCGGAATGGCGTATGGGGAGAGACTTGTTTTTGTTTAGGATTGTGGATTAAGGCACAGGAGGACTGAGAAATATATCTAATGTACGGAACGTAATTGCGTTTGGTGATCTCCGAGGACTCTTAAAATATATTTATTACACTTTAAAGCACCGGTATGCTTTACCTTAAATCTGCCGTGATTTTAATCGGCCAGTAAAAACTTAAGCTGGCAACTAAGACCTATTTTTTTTGTTAAATCTTCTGTTAACCAAGAACATTAAGACACTGTATAGAAAGAGCCCAATGGTCAGGCTTCTTCAGCCCTCAGATTCTTGCAGATACACTCTGCATAGTGCAGGTACCATGTAAACTTAAGCTGAAGTCCCTTTGGTTTACGTCAAACTTCTTTCTTGTCTACCCGTTTTTGACGGATTCAAAAGATCCTGGTGGATTAATATCAACCTTTTCTTTTTGTTTTTGATGTAAACGCCTTTATTTCCCTTTCGATGATGAATCAGAAAAAAGAAAGGGTGTTCGGATCTTGAGAAATGAACAGGGAACATAGAGATCAAGAGGCTTCTGGATCATCGACGCAATATAAAGAGATATTATTTTAATTGAAGGGTACCGTGGGGGATATTCGATATGGAAATGTTGGAGGATAAAGGGAACAGAGTAAAATCAAAATATTTTAAGCTGATTTTTTATAAGAAAAATATCGTTAATGACAGACTAATGTCATTTTTAACACGTTTACAAGCGTCAGCAAAAAATGCTTTTAGAGCGAAATTAAAAGCTCCTTAACTTTGACTTGTTCGAAACCCAATTAAAGTTCAAATGTGCTTGTTTTACTACCGATCTAATCACCATTCTTCCAGGACACTTCCCTTTTGAGCGCCGACCCACCGCAAATTGTATTGGATCAGCTGGAATCAGCTCAAACCCAGATCTCCGAGCTTCGCGGAATCCTTTTGCCAGACACTGTAAGGCAAAATCCGTACATATTCTAAATGCTGTGATTTTAATTTACATTCCATTTTTAGCCAGAAATCACGCACGAAATCATGCTTACTAAGGCAGCGAGGATGAAAGAAGAGCATAAGAATCTTCAAGAGAAAGTTTATATGCTGGAATTGGAGCTGGCAAATGCCAGAGATACTAACGATTTGTTGGAGTTTCAGCTTGTCGAATTGAGTAGTACAAAGGTTAACGTTTTTCCATTTTTTTGATGATTTGTGAGATTTGTTTTTGTGAGGAGAACATATAGTCCTGTCAAATGTCCAATGTCATCATCCAAAAAATTATGGCAGTGTGACTAAATACTAAATATCTTCCTTCCAGAATCCTCCAATATGCCAAGACAAGACCGTTGAGACGGATGAATATCTTGACGATGATTTGGAGATCCTTGAACTAGAGCCTCGCTTGAATTTTGTGAGTTATTATAGTCGTCATTTTTTTACTATGTTTTAACGGATTATTTTTAAACTTTTAGGATGATGAATTTGTATCACGTACAAAAACAGCTCTTCGGGGTTTGGAACGGCTATTTGTTTTGAGCAAAGAGCAAAGGGAGACGATCCATTGTGGAGTCTCATGTCTTGGAGGACTTGAATATGTAAGTGTATTTATTTTTACGAATTTCTAACAATAAGGTTAAAAAGTTATCAAGAGGGCATGTATGGCATAAAGGATGCTCATAAAAAATACCTTTAAGAAGAAAAACTTGCTGGGATGTCTTTTGAAACCTTTTTTTGTCTGTAAAGTTTAGCTGGTAATTGTCAAGGAAGTCGCGTCGGAAACTAGCACTTTTTATATCCGTTTGAATCTTTCTGAAGTTAAATTAGGCCTTTGGGTCTCTAACTGTTCTATATTTTTCTTATTTCAGAAGCTCTCATTCGCCCACAACCAACTTAACATGACTGAATGTGAACTGACCCGTCTCAAGAAGTCCTACGAAGAACAATTGGCAGATCTTCAACGCCAAGTCGACGCCTCAACCGAAACCTCATCATTGAAGAAAAAAGAACTCAAAAATACGATCGAAGAGTTACGTGATGAAAGAATTGTAGTCCAGAAAGAATGCGAAGAACTCCGACGATTAAATGAAGAGCAACAACTGAAACTGGATGAACTCAACAAGAAGATAAACGAAAGCAATGGATTTATTGAAGAATTGAAGAGAGATTTGGCTGAAGAAAGTCAAAGCAAGACAGATATTATCAAGGAGCTACAAGAATCTCGACAAAATGCGGATAAATGGAAGCAACAAGTAGATGTTCTTCAAGACAAGGCCAATAAATTATTTGTTATGGAGAGAAATTTGAAGAATGTGGAGGATACAAACACGGATCTGGAGAAGAGATTCGACAAGGAGTTGATGCTCAGAAATTCACTTGAACTCAAAAATAAACAATTGATCAAGGAGCTGATGGAGGCGAAGAAGGAGATCGAGAGGTTGGAAGGGGAGATTCGGCCAATCGGGTAAGTGAGTTTTGTTCGGGTTTTATGGAAACCACAAGCTGACTTTTTCAGCAATGAAAATTAATAATTCTTTCTGCAAAATAGGGAACGCTGTGATTCGAATTGTGGGATTGGGAGCTTTGTAAATATCATTTTTTTCACACGGATATTCACAATGCACAAAATCTTATCAGTCTCAGCATCCGAAGTTATGAAACTTTTTTCCGGGATTTATTACATCCATTATTCATTTAAAGCTGGATTAAATTCTCATTAAAAATTTTATCTGCTATTTATAATCTCAATTTTTGATCACAATTAGAATGTGAAAATTCTAACATTTCCAGCTTTTACTGCCTAATACTTCAGCTTTTTTTAGCGCACCATTGGGCAACCATTCTATTCTGTAACTCTCACTTTTACACCCATTAACGCAATTAACATTCTTTATAACTTTCGGTTTTACTTATAACTACCATAAGTACTGTTTTCACTTTGCCAGTTGACACTTTATTTAAAACCACTTGTAAATATGAAATATTATACCTCATCACCCTCAAATCCCCTGACATTCCACCCTCATTTCCCATTACAGAACCCAGTTAGAGCGGCGTTACGAAGAGACCCGTTATCGGTTGGCCGAAGCGTTGAAAATGGTTGAAAAATTGGAAAGTCAGCTGTCGAATTCGAATCAAGTTATTGCCGAGATCAGAAAATCAGATGGCAATGGCGAAAAAATGGCTAGGGAAATTGTCCAATTGAAGCGTTATAACGACGAATTAAGTGCCCAATTCAACACTCAGATGGATCTTATCAGCGAATTAAAGAAGAGATTCTTGATTGTGTCGCAAAAGGTAGGTGGAATGCTGATGGGTAATAGGAGCAGGTTGTACAAAAATTTTGTTTTATGTTTTGTTAGGAAAAAGCCATTTTTTGTTTGTACTATTATAATTATAATCATCAACACGACCCTCCCAATTAATCTTCTATTTATTTCCAGACGCAAGGGAAAAGCGAATCCAACGAAAGTATCAGTTGGACATCCAAGAGTTCCTCCATGGACGATGAGCAATACCATTCGGAAGAAGGAGGGTCCGAGAAGAGTCATCAACTTCATCACGGATCCATCTGAACACTATTTAAAAACAGATATTCGAGATGCCAAATATTCTTTTTTTGCATAACATATGTTGATTGTACAGACATTTGGAGAGTAAATTAAATCTAATAATCGAAATTTCTTTGTAATCGATTAATTTATGTCTAAATTTTAAATTATATTATACTGGAGATCTACGGATGGAAATGCCGCTTGGCAGTAGCGTTTTGATTGACAAATTTGACGGCTCTTTCTCGGTAATCAATAATATTCTGCATCTGTTCTTTTGTGAATATTCTCTCATAAAATGGGAGATTCAGATTCCACCAGGTATCTGTATATATGGCTGGAGATGTATGGGCATCGTCGACCTCAGAAAAGTCCATATTCTTAAATTCAGATTTTGTATGTGACGTCCAAGTTGAGCGGTCAAGTCGTGTTTTGTACTTGTAAGATGAGACCAAAGGAGCGTAGTGGTGGATTTTGTTGGCTCGATGATATTGGAGGCCGAATAGACGTTGATCCAGATACCACATCCACTGGGAGTCATAGAGTTTCCGGCCGAGCTCGTAGTCAAATGCAGCGTTGGTCTTGTTCTCAATGTAATTGCCGGTGGCTCGGTCTGTGGGGGATATATCTGAAAGACACGTGTATCTAACCAGTACAAACTTTATCGTCAAATATGGTAAAGCGTGGGAATAGATGCCAATTTCCTACCCATAACTTCTTTCCATCTTTTGACAGTCATTGCAATGGTAATCATCACATATTGTTTATACTTGAGCCCCTTCCATTCTTGGTTTCCGCAGCAATCAATATTGTAAAAGAAGATTTCTTTTCCCTTCGTCATATCCGGAATATGATGTTCTTTGTGGAATGGATAAAAATCCACATCGGAAGTCATCAAAATAGTCTTATTATTCAACTTCTCCTGAACAAACGTTGTTGCCGCCGCATAGTTACGCATGTTTTGTGCAAAGTTGTTAGAATTAAGGGTGTGATTTTGTAGAAATATCAGCTCTGCCTAAAATAAAATGGGCATTTTTCTATAAAAAATGGTTAACTCACACCAAGTCGACTCAATTCATTGATCACTTCTCTGCCTGCCGGGTCATCTTTGTACTCTTTCTGTTTCCCGCATAGCATTACAATCGAAGAGACATTCAAATTGAGCCAATGTTGGACAACAAGTGGTGTGGCCAATAAATAATGATAATTCATATCACCGGATAATACTACATATACATTATTGATCCTCTTCTCTACTTTTTCTGGCTTTGTTTCTACCGGGTTATATATCAAATAAAGACTTTTTGCCATACTCAGATTTTGAACAGTCTTAGGAACGTCGGCGTAGAGAAAAATGAAGAAAAATATTGTACATAGGAAGAAAACATAACTGAAATAAAAACACATGCTTTAAGTAGTGTAAAGTTGGTTTTAATTAACAGATACGTACAGTCGTTGAACATATCAAAATCTCACCTTATTCTTTTTTGTGTCGACCTCTTTACATTGGCACTCATAAAATTCTTACGATCCATGAAGGCCTCCTTTTGCATAGTAATTCCTCGATTGTATTACAGCGGCTAAGATAAAGCAACGTGAAAGAAATGAGATTACAATTATGAAGCTTATAGAAACAAATAAAAAATTTATTCTTCGTAACGAAGTACAATAAAGACAGCAATTAATATTTAAAAATGTGTCCTCCCCGGCAATGGAGGAATCGTTTCCATGCGTGAAAACACAATGATACTCGGGACACGCCTCAGACGTTATCGCCGATTTTATTAGTCATCCTTTAAAGGGTGCAGCGGTCATAATAAATGGAGTTTTCATTTGAGAAAATAAATGATACATAATAATATGCAAGAAGAAATTCTGTTTGTAGCAGTTTTTGGCAATGTTTTAAGGACACGACTGGAAGGACCTTCAAAAAATCGTTTATCATACTTTACATTACATTAAAAACCAGTAAGATACCATGTTATGGATGGAAATGTCGTTTGGCTGCGTCTTCTTGGTTGATATTTTCGACCGCCCTTTCTCGATATGCGATCAGTTTCTCCAGTTGATCTTTTGGAAATATTTTCTTGTAGAACGGTAGGTTCAGTTTCCACCACTCATCCGTGTATATTGCTGGTGATGTGTGTGCATCATCCCATTCATTGATTTTAATTTTTTCGAATTTGTCTTTTGGATAACGTTTCCAAACCGACCGGTCAAGTCTTCTGGGGCCAGTATAAGTCGATACTAAAGTCTTGTAATCATATTTGTGAGAGGCATGATGATAACGGAGTCCGAAGAGTCGCTGATCCAGATACCACATCCACTCTTTGTCGTTCAAAAAGTTCTGCAACTCACCGTCAAAGGTGGCGTTCGTCTTTTCCTCAACATATTTGCCGGTTGCTCTGTCGGTTGGGGAGATGTCTGAAGTAGATCACAATTCTTCATCTCCAAATAAGCGGGTAAGTCAAAAAAAAATCAAAATCGTACCCATGACCTCCCTCCACCTCCTCACAGTCATGGCAATTGTAATCATGATGTACTGTTTATAACTCAGCTCCTTCCATTGTTGAAATCCGCAGCAATCTGGGTTATAAAAGAAGATTTCCTTTCCATTTGAGACTTCTGGAATGTGATGTTCTTTGTGGAAGGGAAAGAAGTCAACGTCAGATGTCATCAAAACAGTCTTTTCGTTTAATTCCTCTTGCACAAATTTCGTGGCCACTGCATAATTCCGCATGTTTTGAGCGAAATTATTTGAGTTCAACGTATGATTTTGCAGGTAGATGATGACTGCCTGAAGAGTTTGTTATCGAATTGTCAACTCACTCCAAGCCGATTCAGCTCTTTGATAACCTCATTGGCCGCTTTATCCTTTTCATAATCAGTCTGTTTTCCACACAACATTACTATCGAAGACACATTAAAATTCAACCAATGCTGGACAGCAAAAGGAGTAGCCAATAAATAATGAAAGTTCATGTCTCCGGACAACACCACATAAACGTCGGAGATTGCCTTCTCCAAGGCGTAGACATTTCTGCCAACTGTAAGACCAAACACATTTCTGGGAGCATCCAGATAGAGAAAAGCGAAGGATAATATTGTAAGGAGAAGCAGGAGGTATCTAAAATAAATACCCACACTTAAAATTCTCCAGAAACGCTTAAAAAATAGAAAAAAATAAAAAGCACTCGCCCAAAAGTTCTCCTCGTTGATGACTTCATAATTCTTTTATCAGCACTCTTCGAACAGAATTGTTGCGTTTCCTCCGATTTCACATTTAAAAAATAAGGCATAATTCAAAAAAACACGATAAAAGTCGACCGAAGAAAGGCAATATATCAAATAAAATTTCAAAAACTTTCGGAAATTTCCAAAAATATTTTTATTAGCACTTTTTAGAAAATATTTTTATTAGCACTTTTAGTAAATAGAAATTTCTAGACAACAAAAAAAAGAATCCTCAAAAATGGTGTTGTCCTAGTGACAATACGGGTGCAAAAACGGAAGCACAAAACAGAAGACACACCAGTGCCTAACAATAAGGAGAATACAGGGAACATAACAGCTAGCTAATTTTTCTATTTAATTATGGACGAGCTTTTCACTGTGCACATTCAATCTTTTCGCTGTCCGCAAATCGATTTCTTACTGTCCGCAATTGAGACTTTTTTAAGCCATAGAGATTCTCACTGTCCGCAAATAAAATAAATTGTAAAAAAGCACTCCGGATTACATTGATAGGTGTCTATGGTAAGAACAAGTTATTTTGAATACGGACAATAAAAATTTTATTTATTTGCGAACAGTAGAAGTGCGGATAAAAAAATCTCAATTGCGGACAGTGAGAAGTCGATTTGCGGACAGCGAAGACAAAAACATAGTCCCATTTAATTATACTACTCCTAAATTGGCTTGTTAACAAATTTTAATTGCGTTTTCATTGCAAATTTTCGCCCAAAATATTGCTATGTTTCACTTGTTCAGTTTCAATTATACATTGTATTATTTATAATATAGTTGAACGTCATTTACTCAAATTCCGATCAATAAATTTTGTGGCAAAGCTCGGTGATCTAAGCATATGCTTATATAATATTTTTCCGTAACGTTTATTAAATAAATCCGGCAAACTATATATAAGGTTGCAAATATAATTCGGGTTCTTTGTTTCATTTCTTTTCTTTTTCTTGGCATTAGTACCTCTTCTCCATTTTGCAAGTGTACAAAGCAGCATGGAATGAGCTTGGTTTTATTTTCTTCAGAGTTGGTGGCGTCTTTCCTGGCAGAATTTTGAATTGATTCAGGAGGTTGGCAGTAAATAGATACAGCTCCATCCTGGCCAGACCTTCTCCAAGACAAACTCTTTTTCCTAATGAGAATGGAAGCATTGCCGGATGACTCACAAACTTGCCATTCTCATTGATAAAACGCTCGGGTCTGAATTCCAGAGGGGATGGGAAATGCTGTAAAGGTGTTTAATGCTACTCTGCAAGTCTGACGGCCCATCAGCTGATGGACAAAAAATTGAGAAAAAGATGTACCTTTGGATCCCTCATGATAGTAGCGATCTGCGCAATGACCAGAGTTCCTTTCTTTAGATTATATCCCTCTACGTTAACATCCTCAGTTGTAGCTCGTGGGATATTTACCGGGATAATATTGGCCATTCGTTGTGATTCGGTTAGAAATGCCTGTAAATATGGGAGATCTGGACGATCAGCATTTCGAACGGGACGATCAGATGAGATTACTCTGTCCAATTCTTCATGAAGCTTCTCTTGTATGTCTTGATACTGAATCAAATAAGAAACAATCCAATTCATCGTGGCATTTGTGGTATCCTGCAACGGTGTCGGCATTACCTAAGCATGGTAAGTCTTACATGTCCAGCAAACCACAAATCGATTGCCGTTCCTCGAAGTTGTTCCTTTGTAAAGTATTTCCTCTCTTCTCCGTTTGCTTCCACCCTGGCCTTCTCTAACATGAAAGCATCAATAAAGTCTCTAGGTTCCATCGATTGATCTGAGTAATCATTTTTTCTAAGATGATCTTCAACTTGATCATCAATACATTTTATCATCTCATGAACATGTTTAATTAACCTTTGCGCAGGACGATTAACATACGGGACCTTTAAAAGAATTGGGAAAAGGAATGCAAGAATGGCCAAGGTGTTATCTTCATCATTGTTTAAGGAATCCACAACATCTTGCACCTTGTGGAAATCTCCTTTTTCGTTCTGAAAACATGCTCATTACAGTAAAATAGTGGCAGAAGTTTGACTTACCTGTGCTGTAAAACCTTCTCCACATACCACCGTATTAATCACGGAGCCAGTGGCCAAATTAATATATCTTTTCATATCAACATCATCAATGCCTGCATCGATATCGTGACTCAGTCTCTCGCAAATAATCAAAGCTTCAGAAAGAATCTAGACGCATAAATGTTATATTCAAACAGAACTGCCGTGCATACTTTGTCTTCCATTCCACTCTTTCCCAATCCGAAGTCCCTCATAACTTTCAAAGCAAATCTTCGCTGATTTCTCCACACATCTCCGGACATGTAAACGACGCCGCCTTCTACTCCCCCACGCAGTAGTTTCGTAATTGGATGCATTTTCATCCGGTCCGCAAATACATCGCCTTGTTTTACCATATATTCATCGGCCAATTCGAGTGTATTTAACATTACCACCGGGACCTCTCCAGCCCAAAAAGTAAATACATTTCCGTATTTGGCCTTGTATCCGTCACAAACTTCTACCATACCTCTTTTTGCAAGCATATCCAGAGTATTACCGACTTTTGGGAGAGGCATTGGACCCGGCGGAAAACCAATCCGTTTGTAATAAACATGGTAGAAAAGGTACAAAACGACTGCCAAAATGGCTAGGAGATATAAGATCATGACTGCAGCAACCAGGAAGCGTCAACTAAATTGCAATCTAATGTTAAACGATTCTCTCAGATTCAAAAACAATTTCTCGGTTGGCGACTCCATATATGTTTACAAAAACATAATTCAGTTTTCTGTGTGAATCTGCAGTTTGAAAGATGTGCTCACAGGAAATCAAAGAAATTGAAGGAAAACATCAGTCGGTTGTTTTTTCATTGGAATTTATAAGATAAGAAACAGCAAATTACCTTTTGAAAAAAGTAATAGAAGCTCAACTAACGCGATGCAACATCGCGCCGGAAGCCATAAATTTTATATAAAAAAACAAATACAACCATGGGCTAAAATACACTAGTATAACATCAGATTTTTAGCCCTCGTACAAGCGCAATTTGGCTCCAAGACAGGTGAAACAAGCGGTATTAAAGTCTCATTGGCTGATGTTTCGAATGGCATAGGTCTTGTAAATTCACTCCGACATCTCCAATTATCTTTTTGTTTGAAATTTCATTCTGTTATGTTTCGAACGGTGTAGGTCACGTCAGTTCACTCCGACATCTCCAATTCACTTTATTTTTTATTAGTGCCTAGTGTAATATCAGAGTATTCGGCCTGGTACCGGCGCAATTTGGCTCCAAAAAAGCTGAAACTTGCGGGTTTCAAATTCCATTCTGTTATGTTTCGAACGGTGTAGGTCACGCCAGTTCACTCCGACATCTCCAATTCACTTTATTTTTTATTAGTGCCTAGTGTAATATCAGAGTATTCGGCCTGGTACCGGCGCAATTTGGCTCCGAAAAAGCTGAAACTTGCGGGTTTGAAATTTCATTCTGTTATGTTTCGAACGGTGTAGGTCACGCCAGTTCACTCCGACATCTCCAATTTACTTTATTTTTTATTAGTGCCTAGTGTAATATCAGAGTATTCGGCCTGGTACCGGCGCAATTTGGCTCCGAAAAAGCTGAAACTTGCGGGTTTGAAATTTCATTCTGTTATGTTTCGAACGGTGTAGGTCACGCCAGTTCACTCCGACATCTCCAATTCACTTTATTTTTTATTAGTGCCTAGTGTAATATCAGAGTATTCGGCCTGGTACCGGCGCAATTTGGCTCCGAAAAAGCTGAAACTTGCGGGTTTGAAATTTCATTCTGTTATGTTTCGAACGGTGTAGGTCACGTCAGTTCACTCCGACATCTCCAATTCACTTTATTTTTTATTAGTGCCTAGTGTAATATCAGAGTATTCGGCCTGGTACCGGCGCAATTTGGCTCCGAAAAAGCTGAAACTTGCGGGTTTGAAATTTCATTCTGTTATGTTTCGAACGGTGTAGGTCACGTCAGTTCACTCCGACATCTCCAATTCACTTTATTTTTTATTAGTGCCTAGTGTAATATCAGAGTATTCGGCCTGGTACCGGCGCAATTTGGCTCCGAAAAAGCTGAAACTTGCGGGTTTGAAATTTCATTCTGTTATGTTTCGAACGGTGTAGGTCACGCCAGTTCACTCCGACATCTCCAATTCACTTTATTTTTTATTAGTGCCTAGTGTAATATCAGAGTATTCGGCCTGGTACCGGCGCAATTTGGCTCCAAAAAAGCTGAAACTTGCGGGTTTCAAATTCCATTCTGTTATGTTTCGAAGGGTGTAGGTCACGCCAGTTCACTCCGACATCTCCAATTCACTTTATTTTTTATTAGTGCCTAGTGTAATATCAGAGTATTCGGCCTGGTACCGGCGCAATTTGGCTCCAAAAAAGATGAAACTTGCGGGTTTCAAATTCCATTCAGTTATGTTTCGAACGGTGTAGGTCACGCCAATTCACTCCGACATCTCCAATTCACTTTATTTTTTATTAGTGCCTAGTGTAATATCAGAGTATTCGGCCTGGTACCGGCGCAATTTGGCTCCAAAAAAGCTGAAACTTGCGGGTTTCAAATTTCATTCTGTTATGTTTCGAACAGTGTAGGTCACGCCAGTTCACTCCGACATCTCCAATTCACTTTATTTTTTATTAGTGCCTAGTGTAATATCAGAGTATTCGGCCTGGTACCGGCGCAATTTGGCTTCAAAAAAGCTGAAACTTGCGGGTTTCAAATTTCATTCTGTTATGTTTCGAACGGTGTAGGTCACGCCAGTTCACCCCGACATCTCCAATTCACTTTATTTTTTATTAGTGCCTAGTGTAATATCAGAGTATTCGGCTTGGTACCGGCGCAATTTGGCTCCAAAAAAGCTGAAACTTGCGGGTTTCAAATTTCATTCTGTTATGTTTCGAACAGTGTAGGTCACGCCAGTTCACTCCGACATCTCCAATTCACTTTATTTTTTATTAGTGCCTAGTGTAATATCAGAGTATTCGGCTTGGTACCGGCGCAATTTGGCTCCAAAAAAGCTGAAACTTGCGGGTTTCAAATTCCATTCTGTTATGTTTCGAACGGTGTAGGTCACGCCAGTTCACTCCGACATCTCCAATTCACTTTATTTTTTATTAGTGCCTAGTGTAATATCAGAGTATTCGGCCTGGTACCGGCGCAATTTGGCTCCGAAAAAGCTGGAACTTGCGGGTTTGAAATTTCATTCTGTTATGTTTCGAACGGTGTAGGTCACGCCAGTTCACTCCGACATCTCCAATTTACTTTATTTTTTATTAGTGCCTAGTGTAATATCAGAGTATTCGGCCTGGTACCGGCGCAATTTGGCTCCGAAAAAGCTGAAACTTGCGGGTTTGAAATTTCATTCTGTTATGTTTCGAACGGTGTAGGTCACGTCAGTTCACTCCGACATCTCCAATTCACTTTATTTTTTATTAGTGCCTAGTGTAATATCAGAGTATTCGGCCTGGTACCGGCGCAATTTGGCTCCGAAAAAGCTGAAACTTGCGGGTTTGAAATTTCATTCTGTTATGTTTCGAACGGTGTAGGTCACGCCAGTTCACTCCGACATCTCCAATTCACTTTATTTTTTATTAGTGCCTAGTGTAATATCAGAGTGTTCGGCCTGGTACCGGCGCAATTTGGCTCCGAAAAAGCTGAAACTTGCGGGTTTGAAATTTCATTCTGTTATGTTTCGAACGGTGTAGGTCACGTCAGTTCGCTCCGACATCTCCAATTCACTTTATTTTTTATTAGTGCCTAGTGTAATATCAGAGTATTCGGCCTGGTACCGGCGCAATTTGGCTCCGAAAAAGCTGAAACTTGCGGGTTTGAAATTTCATTCTGTTATGTTTCGAACGGTGTAGGTCACGCCAGTTCACTCCGACATCTCCAATTCACTTTATTTTTTATTAGTGCCTAGTGTAATATCAGAGTGTTCGGCCTGGTACCGGCGCAATTTGGCTCCGAAAAAGCTGAAACTTGCGGGTTTGAAATTTCATTCTGTTATGTTTCGAACGGTGTAGGTCACGCCAGTTCACTCCGACATCTCCAATTTACTTTATTTTTTATTAGTGCCTAGTGTAATATCAGAGTATTCGGCCTGGTACCGGCGCAATTTGGCTCCGAAAAAGCTGAAACTTGCGGGTTTGAAATTTCATTCTGTTATGTTTCGAACGGTGTAGGTCACGTCAGTTCGCTCCGACATCTCCAATTCACTTTATTTTTTTTTAATGCCTAGTGTAATATCAGAGTGTTCGGCTTGGTACCGGCGCAATTTGGCTCCAAAAAAGCTGAAACTTGCAGGTTTGAAATTTCATTCTGTTATGTTTCGAACGGTGTAGGTCACGCCAGTTCACTCCGACATCTCCAATTCACTTTATTTTTTATTAGTGCCTAGTGTAATATCAGAGTATTCGGCCTGGTACCGGCGCAATTTGGCTCCGAAAAAGCTGGAACTTGCGGGTTTGAAATTTCATTCTGTTATGTTTCGAACGGTGTAGGTCACGCCAGTTCACTCCGACATCTCCAATTTACTTTATTTTTTATTAGTGCCTAGTGTAATATCAGAGTATTCGGCCTGGTACCGGCGCAATTTGGCTCCGAAAAAGCTGAAACTTGCGGGTTTGAAATTTCATTCTGTTATGTTTCGAACGGTGTAGGTCACGTCAGTTCACTCCGACATCTCCAATTCACTTTATTTTTTATTAGTGCCTAGTGTAATATCAGAGTATTCGGCCTGGTACCGGCGCAATTTGGCTCCGAAAAAGCTGAAACTTGCGGGTTTGAAATTTCATTCTGTTATGTTTCGAACGGTGTAGGTCACGCCAGTTCACTCCGACATCTCCAATTCACTTTATTTTTTATTAGTGCCTAGTGTAATATCAGAGTGTTCGGCCTGGTACCGGCGCAATTTGGCTCCGAAAAAGCTGAAACTTGCGGGTTTGAAATTTCATTCTGTTATGTTTCGAACGGTGTAGGTCACGTCAGTTCGCTCCGACATCTCCAATTCACTTTATTTTTTATTAGTGCCTAGTGTAATATCAGAGTATTCGGCCTGGTACCGGCGCAATTTGGCTCCGAAAAAGCTGAAACTTGCGGGTTTGAAATTTCATTCTGTTATGTTTCGAACGGTGTAGGTCACGCCAGTTCACTCCGACATCTCCAATTCACTTTATTTTTTATTAGTGCCTAGTGTAATATCAGAGTGTTCGGCCTGGTACCGGCGCAATTTGGCTCCGAAAAAGCTGAAACTTGCGGGTTTGAAATTTCATTCTGTTATGTTTCGAACGGTGTAGGTCACGCCAGTTCACTCCGACATCTCCAATTTACTTTATTTTTTATTAGTGCCTAGTGTAATATCAGAGTATTCGGCCTGGTACCGGCGCAATTTGGCTCCGAAAAAGCTGAAACTTGCGGGTTTGAAATTTCATTCTGTTATGTTTCGAACGGTGTAGGTCACGTCAGTTCGCTCCGACATCTCCAATTCACTTTATTTTTTTTTAATGCCTAGTGTAATATCAGAGTGTTCGGCTTGGTACCGGCGCAATT